CGACATTCCAGGATAATAGGTGGCATTACGGCCTCAAAGGGTCAAGTTGGTCTCACGTTGTCTTATGAGGGAAATAGTGTTCGTATGGCAAAAATGCAGCTCTGTGACGTGAAATATATTCTCTCACTTACAATAAAATAAGTAATGTATAAAAAACAACAAAGACAAAAAAAAGTTAATTAGCATTGCAATTCTTTTGCAAATCCTCCTATATCAAGTTAGATCTGGCGGACGTGGGGGTGAAACCAGGATGGTGTGGCCCCTTTACCCGTCTCTGTGACAAACAGGGGGTCTTGCGGAGAAGTCCGGCTGGCTGATCTTGAGCTTATGTAGCCGCGGATGGGTTCATATGGACTTAGATATGAGTCTAGTCGGAAGAGGTAGATAGGCTGAGGTGAACCGGACTGGTTGCCATTGCTGTGTTTGAGGTGGTAGAGTCATCGTCTACCTGGTAAACGATGGTGTAAGGAGGATGGTTGAAGATGTCGGACATGGTGGCATTTTGTGATAGATGGTAGTCAGAGTTTGAAGCAGTGAACTCTGAGCAGCGCAGGAAGCCGAAGAAAGCCAGCAAGAACATGGACTCTAATACTTTGTCCATAAAGGGAGACAGGTAGACTGAGCGGAGTGTATGGATGCAGCGGGTAAGGAGGTCCGAAGTGAGGGGCAGACGTTTAGGTGTAGGGTGTGGTTTGACTTTATGGAGACCTTTGAGTAGCATAGTGATGTGTCAGTGGGTCAAGGCTGGACAAGGGTTGTGAAGAGGTTAATTTGGGCGGCCATTTGGCTGAACCACTGTAGAAGCCGGCAAAGCCGATGGTGGGGGCTGCGTCTGTAACTCAATGTGTTCCGGCTTGGTGAAGTAGTCAGAAGAAAGAGATGCCGTTCCAAGAGCAGAGGAACTAGTGCCACAGGTTTAGTTCCGTTTCGCATGCTTCATCCGAGTGTGACGTGGTCATGAAGATTTGTAACAGAGGCAGCAACTGACAGGTGTGACAAGAAGGATCGACCTTGGGGAATGATGAGGATAGTTGAGGTGGCCTAACACCGTTAACAGTTGGTGTTTAGTGTATTTGAGGGCCAGGAGGAAATTTGAGATCAGTAATGATATCCGATTGATTTCTTTCGGCAGGTAGGGATGCTTGGAGTGAGATGGAGTTGAGGGTGATGCCAAGAAATTCCAAGGGACGTGCTGGGACCTGTGGAAAGAGGAACATAGAGTTCCTGGAACGCAAAAGTGAGTGTGGAGGCCGTGTGGTGGGGGTGAGGCAGACGGTGGAGAAGTCATCTAAGAGGTTGATGACGTATGGAGTTTATGGATGTTTGTCAGGATCCAGCAGAGTGCTTCGGATAAACAATCAAAAATAAAGCGAATGAACTGTTGGTCTGGGTTGTTGTTTAATGCGGAAGCTAGAGCATGGACAATAATTGGTGTATTGAGATACTTACACAGGCTGTGGTTGGTTGGGTTGTGGGGACAGGTTGGTATTGTGTGGGCCCCTCCACAGAAGCAGCAGGCGTGGAGGAATCAGCAGCGGGAGGTGTTGCATCCTAGGCCGTTGAATTTATCACAGACCATCCTCCTGTCCTGGTAGATGACTGGTCTACCTCTCCTGTCTACACATTTGGGGGAGGGCTGGGGGTGGTTGGCTGGTTTAGGGGTGATTGATGGTGGAGATACTGTGGGAGGCAGGCTGCGGTAAACGGTGGGGCTTTGTTTACCAGAAGCTGACTTGAAAGACAGAGGGGCTGTGAGGGGGCATGTGGTGGCCAGAAGGGAAGGTGCGCAGCAAAGCTTTCAATTAAGGGAAGAGTGAGCTGCAAAAACTCTACAATATAATTCTGGGTCGAGTGTTCCCCAGTACGTTCCCTGATTAACTAAACTGCTGCCCTCTAAAAGGGCTGATGTGGATGGCTGGGCTTCACCGGCCATGGTATGCATTGTGAAGTCATCGGCTGACGCGGCGCTGGGAATCCAGAAGTGCTTTGGAGCGAGAGTGGTGTTGTGCTGAGAGTCCGTGTACAGTTTGTAAAGTTTTGCTTTTCTATCGGACTGATGGAAGGGGATATTGCGCTGGGTGAGTGAGTTCTACAGTCGGGAGACTGTTCACACGGAAGTTTGGGATGTGTAAGGACTGTCGGAGCGTCGGCATGGTGAAGAAGGGTTGCGGTGGTTTCGACCATCATTCGGGCGCCTGGATCTCAGACGCCGGTGTCGGGATCTCCCCTTAATTAAAATCAATGATTTAATGCACCACCCGGCAAGCACGCCAAGTTACCTAAAGTCAACACATCCACAATGCTGAATCACTAACAGGTGCATTCTGGATCTGGCCAACATGCTAAATACTGACATATTCATGGTGGATCCTCCAGCGATAGCTTCTGCGTACACTGAGGACATTTTACCTTCAGTGAGTTTGTGTCAATAATAACTGATGTGATTGCAGGGCTTGATTAAGCTCAAATTGTTTAAAAAAAAAAATCTGAGGAGCACAGTGGGACAGAGAGGCTGAGTGGACTGTATATGCTTTAGGAATGAACAAATATTCTGGTTAATTCTAGTGCAACCTCAGCGACAAAGGAAGGTGATTGTATGAACATAATTGATGATCATGGATATGCTAAGGCTGCAAAGTGCCGTCTATAGAAATTAAATTGTTGGTTTGGACATGGGCTCACGTTGCTGACATTGTTCCAGTAATGTATATGTTGACATTAAATTGCAATATATTTTATATCATTTTTAATTAAACAGTAGTATCATATAATCATAACCCCCATTTTGCACAGAAAATATAGGAAGAAAAATATGTAAATATGATGTTTTGTTATAAATTAAACCACCCAACAGTATACACAAGTACATTTGAAACAATTATTCAAAAAAGAATCAGCAGATTAGTCCATAATGAAAATAATAGTTAATTGCAGAGAAATGTTAGCTCCACCTCTAACAACTACAACACTAAACTTATGATTTTACATTAATGCATGAGTGTAATAATCTAATGATGTAATATATAACAATACAGACACAGAGACATTTTGCATTGAGTACATTTACATTTAATACTCGAGTATATTTTCCTGATTATACTTATGTTGGGAACGTAAAGGAGCGTGTTTGGGTTATCAGCATCTAAGAAACTAAATTCTTGACATCAATAGAATTATTAATGTCAGTAACAATTATTAATGATTATTAATAATAACGGGGCACCACCCTGCGAACAGGGACCAATAACCAAACAATAAAACTAAGTCTCATAATTAGCGTTCACTCATAATGTCAATAGTCTGAGTACTATTACACATTCAGAGTGAAAGTGAAGGTTTAAGTTCGAGCACAGGCCACTACATCCAGTTATTATTACACACATATGCACAAGTAATCACAGATGACTGCTCTTTAAAATACAACAGTTTATTAAATAAAATAATAAATGATCAAATCAAGTAATATCAAAATCAACAAACACTATCATACAATTATATGTCTAATACCTAAAGTCAAATGAATAAAGTGGGGTAAGGATATGTATATAGATGTATGTACATGTGTGAGTGAGTGTGTGGAAACGAAGGGGGGGGGGGCTACTCAAACAGTGATGGTACTAACCTAAACAGGGGCATGTGAGCCTACAAGCAAAGATGGCGGAGTCTATTGACCCGCGACAAGATAGCTGAGAGGTGGCTACGTGTAACCACGTGGGACGGCGCACAATGTGGGTTGGGACAATAGATTACGCGACCACGTGTCTGAGACGTTCACCCAAATTCAGTGAATCTAACTATGTGTGTGCGGGTTAGTAGGAAGAGAGGTTGACAGCGAGAGAGAGAGAGAGAGAGAGAGAGAGGGGAGCTCTGAGCGCGGTGCTGCAGTGAGAATGTGAGGAACAGCTGATCACTCGTAAACTCTGCGGTCGGATTCTGAACCGACCGGTCACGCTTGTACGGTGATAGTTGCGGTTCTAGATCTCACTCACAGAGCCGATTTAAAGAAGAGATAATAAAACCAAACAAAATAAAATAATCCCCAAAACAAAACAGATCTTTATCACTGCGGTGAGATGCGAGTATTGCTCTCTTATCACCCCGAAACTCGGTCGGCGAGACGAGGCTCCGCCGCCGTGGTTTTGGTCTTTGAAGTGATAAAATCACAACCTCCACATCCACTAGCATCGACGGATCTAATGCAAACAGTTACAGCAGGAAATACACAACATAACGGGACTCTGTGGTCCGCGATGCTTGCGCAATAACACGTTATAACACGACAGTAACTTAGCATAACAAGATACAGGAATAACAACGACATAACGACTAGGCTAAATTAAGCTAATGCTAAGCTAAGCTAGGCCCAGATACCAGTAACTCTTACTTGTAGAAGGTTCGTTCGGTAGGGTACGTTTCCCGTGGTGGGAATCAGTCAGTCCTCGAGAGATGAGGGCTCCCGGTGGCGCGGCCTCGGGGCTGGCTGGCGCAGACTCGGCCTCCTCGCTGCAGAGAGGGGCTTTTTAACTTCGGCTGAGGGACGAGGTTTGGGTCGTCCTTCCCGGAAATCTTCGGCGAGGAAAGATTGTTACCTTCTGCCGGCGGTGTGTACACAAAAAGGGTGGGAGAACGGGGCATAGGAGTTATGAAGAGGCCTTGTGGACCTCCTGACACCAGCGGTGTCTGGACGGAAGAGAAAGAATTCTAGCTGTGCTCAGGCTTATAAACCAGGTGGCACAACCAGTGGGGGGCCCTTTCTTGGCCAATGAGGGACCAGCATCAGGTTTCTGCTGGAGCTGGGGGGGGTGTGGTCATCCGGCATGAGGTTTCTTGCAGACCCCAGGTCAGGCGTTTTGGTGAAAGGAAGGAACATGGCTGCTCCTTTGTTTGAAAAGCAGGTGTGAAGGTCTCAGCCAGCCAGGACAGCAGGGTCAGATCCCAACACTTACATACTTTTACTTTAATTGCATTTCCAAGATAGGACTTTTACTTGTAAGATTATTTTTCATCATTTTTTAGGGCTCTGCACAGGGGAATCAGATACACAAGGCTTTGACTGCACAGGCAATCCTTGCTAATAGAAACAATTCATTGCTGGTTTTGGTCTGTTCATGGGATTTGTTGAAAATGAAAAAAGTACATCATAAGGTTACTTGTTAACATACAAGTATTCCACAGTTCAGTGCAACGGCTTTAATGATAGGATGTCTGCATGCTTTTTTATTACATTACAACATGGAAGTTTTTGGACTAATTTGGGCAGGACACAACAATGGATGGCTCATTATAAAGTTTACTACAGCTAAAGCTGTCATACAGTTTCCATAGAGTACCAGTGGTAAAACCAAAACAAATATGACTCATAGTTTGCTTGCAAAGAGCACAACTTATATATTACTGCTGAAAGTGTGTTGAGACAGAATAATGTCAGGATGTGAACGCTTTCCAGACTTGACTGTAAATAGTCTCACAAATCAAAGCTCAATAATATGCCGCACAGCACAGGAAGCCAAAAGATTTCCCCTTTTTTGTTCACATGTTTCGATATTCTTATGGCAAGATATCACAATATCATCCCTTGCTCCTACTTTACATGGCTATTTGCCATGTGGCACTTTTTGTTTTCCAACATTGTCATAGAAATGCCTTTGTTGTCCCTTATAGGTTGATACAAGCTTTCAACAAGTGTAGTCCTCAACACTACCAAGTGTGAATACAAGGATTTGTCTGATCAAGTCAATGGTTACTATTTCAGGGTGGAAGTAATCCTCATGCTGCACTCAGGAGGGAACAAAAAAGGGATAGCCTCCAGGGATCTGTATTGAATTTGCCGAGGAGTGCTTGAAACCACAGAGCCAGATGGAACTTGCTCCAAGAGTTGTGATGCTGAGGAATGTTTACAGTGTTAAACTCCAAAGTGTTTTCCTTGAATGTGTACTTATGAAGGCAAGAGCTGCAAATGGAGAGGGAAGAGGGTGAAGAGGAGGGAAGGGTCCATTCTCCAGAGAAGAAGAGCAGACGATGGAAAGGTATCAAACTGTCATCCAGGACCAGGGACTCTGTGGAGACTCCTGATTGGCACTGTCTGCAGGGGGCTTTAAAGAGAATATTTCACATTAAATCTGTAATATCCTAACAAATGGCTAATTCCAGCTTTTTTTATCAGGGTTAATTAATTTCACTCTACACTTATAATTAGCATGATGTGATGATCTAAAAATAATGAGACTTAGAAGGTTCCGTTGAATCAGACTGACCTTGACAGGCAAAAATCATGGCACTCAGGGTCTGCATCAAGCGCAGCACAAATGCAGCGCTGAGTCTTTGCCTCTTCGCGATCAGTTGCTTCTCCACTGACAGCACGTTTGATTCGCTGAGGTCCTCTGTAGCTTGACATTCCATAGGGCACAGTGTGCCTGAGAAGGTAAAAAAAAATAAAAAACAGAAGGTAAAAGTAAAATGTGAGACAAATCACATTCTTGGGGACAAAGAAAAACAAAAGGTATTAAATATTGTTAGTTTTAGAGAGTGCCCAAACGTTAACATATCTTCTAGTCACCCTCAAGCCAGCAGTCATATATAGGCTTTCACAATATAGAGTGAGAGATCTGAATAGATCACGTTATGGCAGTTTAGGTTTCAATAAAAAAACATGCACATGATACATGCTTCTCAATCTAGGCAGAACATCTCTTTATTTACGACATCAGGAGTAGATGTTTCACTGAACAGCTTGTGCCTGGCATTCAGTTATTGATGAAACCTTTTGCCAGTGAACATTTGTTTATAGTTAAGTGACCATCAGGTATTGGTAATGTCAAAACTAAGGCTGACATTTAAGTAACTAATAGACCTGAAATATAACTTCCATGGATTAAATAAACATTTGAAAAAAATCCATGACTGTATACAATGCTGTTAAGTGTCAGATGGCATTACTTATCGTCTCTCCAATTTCTCTTATTCCCACTCATCTGTTTTTTACAACAATGGATTTTGTTAACAAGAAAAATACAAAGGGCCAAAGAGAAAGAAGAGTCGGTCAGAGCACCCCAGCTACATTTGTGCATATAGCTGAGAAAGATCCGCCGATCAGAGCAAAAAGCCCCTGATCCATGAAGTCTGTTTTGAAGACATTTGAAGTAAATGGCTTTCCCCCGTAGATATGCCAGATTATATCAGACTGCTGCCTGCTGCCTGTATCTGATTGTATACCTGCCAATGAGGCAAGCTGAGTGAAAACACTTTACTTATAATTGTAGTGTAGGGTATAGAGGTCACAAGAGAAGAGGGAGTCATACAGTATATACACTTGGAAGCTAAACCACAGTCTTGTGAGCCAATATTGAGTTGCTCCTCTGGAACATTTGGGATGCTTCCCTATTGGATACATGTGATACATACTATTTTACTTTCCATGCTGAGATTTTATGAAACTATAGCTTGAAAAAGCCAGAACAAATTTAGAAAGTGTATCTTCCATCCCGGTGCAGCGCTCCGCAAAATGTAAGCACACATATTGGAAAACATACTGCTTTTATTATTATTTCAGTCTTCAAACTATGTCAATTTGTCTAAACTTGCTTAGCAGTAATACAGTGTGCTGCCAACAAAGCAGCCGTGGCACAAGAAGAAAAAGAAAGCAAGAATGCTTTCTTACTGTCTTGCCAAGGATGGTAATATGCAGCTAGAAGGTAGCAAAACAAATAAGATGTAGTGGCATCTAGTGGTAAGTTTGTAGATTGCAACCAACTGAATACCTCTCCCACTCTCACCCCTCCCTTTCTAAGCTACAGTTGCTTTCAGATAGGGATAGGTACCTTTAGGATTGTATGACTACTAGGAGCTACTCCTATTGATACACGGCCAATTTTATGACTAACTAATTGCTGTGAATAAATTCAGAACAGGATGAGAATGTATTCATATTTTAAACTAAATATTGTTTCTAGAGCAGCAACAATAATATTTACAAAGAAGTCATTAACAGCTTGAAACAAATCCTAAATGTCAATGAGATACACAACATTCCTGAGTGAAGTTTATAAAGAATGAAAAAGACAGACATCAGTCAACAGTATTAGTCATTCCTCCTGTCCTCTGTCAACCTCCCTCTGATGTCAGTCACTGTCCGCAGGTACCGCTTGTTGAGAGAGGAGGGGCCGCATTGTCAAGAACAAGCTAAGCTAAACAGTCAGACTACAGGCAAACAGCTTTTGTTTTAGCTTGTTTGTAAAAATTTGCTGTTAGTCGAGTTAGCATGCTGTGCTTGTTTAAACATATAGCGACGGTAAACGACAGACTGCAGACAGAGCAGATTGAAATAGGATTTGCTTCTGTTTATGTTCATGCTGGTTGAACAGACACATTGATAAAGTTTTGGCTTTTTACTTAATGTTTTATTACACTTTAAGTAATGAGCGTTAGTTGTCATCAACTCTAGTAATCTTCACTTCACCTGGTTCACTTTAGTGTTTATATATTTTATATATTTACAATAAAATACACAGAAACATTAAAAAGTACTGATAAAAAGCACCTGTTACGTCGAAGCTTATCAATACTCCAGTCTTTAATAATCAGGGCCCGTTTAATGCTGAGTTTCGGGACCCATCCCTTCCTTCAGGCAACGTAAAAATGCGACAAGACTCTCACTAGAGCATTTCTGCAAAATAAATCCCCTTTAAACATGCAAAAATTGCATGATAACATAAAGCAACAAAGGAAGGCATATGAACACTAAAACATGTAAAAGATTAAAACGAAGGAAGAGTGACAGTTTGTTAAAAGCTTAAGGTTAAAGTTTTCAATTGCCGTTTAAAATCTTCACAGAGCTTGCATTTCTTATAGTCTTGGGGAGAGAATTCCACAGTTTTAGAGCATGGTTAAAAATGGCTGAGGAGACTATTTTCTTGTATTTCATTTATTTTTATTTTAGCAGGGCAAGTTCAATGTTCCAAGATACAAAGTGAGAGCCATTATGGTTTGGGGGAGATAATCACATTTAAAAAGCTTGGGACTGTTCAGGAATGAAGTAAAATTATCCATAAAGGGGATGTCCCTGATGCTACAGTATCTTTCAGCCAGTTGTGTATAGCTCGCGAAAACGGCAGAATTTTACATCTCCAAAACAAGTGGGCGATTAAGGGCCTTGCCATTTCCACGAGGCCCACGGTTTATAGTCGCCAGGAGTGGAACAGGCCGGGGATTTCGGTCTTCCACTCAGGGTGGGTCACTCCTCCTCCTTCGATTCCATGGGACATATGGATGAAATCAGATCACCGCCAGCAGTGACGAAACTGGACCACGGGAGAGTAGTGCCGTTGCTGTCCAGTGCTGAGCATTTAGGAGAGGAGACAAGCTGGGACCATGATGTCCATAAACCGAAGTTCCCAGGGCCGATAAGTGTAGTAGCCTGTGTTGTGGCCACATTTGAAAACTCCATAATTAACTGCCCAAATTATTTTAAGTTCTGTTTTAAGGCGACTGATATTGGTCTTCAGCTTGGAGTAAGGCAGTTCCCGCACACGTCACCCGTCATAGATGGCCATCCACCATCAGGTTAACTGAAGACTCACAGCTGCAGCTACCCTTTTATGTGCCAATACCAATATTAAAGCAAACTTGTAAGAATTATCTTTGACTGTGAAGTCTTAGTAGATATTCCGATGTGCCCTCAGAGGATTACTGCCAGACATGGAGGAGGCGAGAGCTGGTCAGTGTGCTCCATTTGTTTTGACTTAAGGCAATTATTATTTGTATTACAGGTTTTCTGAAATGTTATGTTTAAATATGCAGAAAGTTTTGAACATAAGTAGAGATCTTGCCGAAAACCATGTCAGCCATTAAAGTCATGGGGTTTGTAAATTAAATTAAATGCAATAATATAATTGACGTGAATAAGTGCCGCATGCACATTTAAAGAGGTTTCTTCCTCTAACAAAAGACACAAAGAGGATGGAAAAGTTGACCCAGCAGGGATAATATTAAATGAGACAAGTTGAGAATACATATTTGAAGGCAAGAATACCTGAAAGCCTTACTGCATTACATTCCATTATATTTTGAATAGTCACCTAGCATCTGAATTTTGTGTTTTCTTTTACATAAATAAAGACATTTCCAACAGAAAAAGATAGAGGAAAGGCCAAAATGAGTGCAGAAAAATTCACCAGAATGCAAGAAATTAAGTGTTTAACTCAAACTTTCGGGGGTCCCCACCAGTGTCTAAATGATGCATACGCCCTTGCTTGCACAATAATAGCACGTTCAAGTGTATTATTGGTCAAATAAACAATAGATATTTTATAGTATTTAACAAAGCATGTCTTACTCGGGAGTGTTGATCCAGATGATATCCAAGTGGCAGTAGTAGACGCACTCTTTATCCTTGTAAGAATAACAGGTACAGCGCTTCGGTCTGGACTTTGCCTCCGTTGCATCAGACAGCTGTAAACCTGCGGAGCTCCCGGTTCCAAACGCCCTGCTGGCATCTGGGAGACGCGCTGGGTTGACCTCGGATGTCACCGAGGCGTCAGACGTCAAAACGCCTTGTACAAAGAAACAAGTTAGAAATAAGATAATAATCAAGTAAATAAATAGGGGGGGTGGGGTAAAGGTTGTTGCACCTTGCCGACATAAAACGTAACTTACCTTGTAAGATAATTAATGCAAGGATTTTGAAAAGCATGGTTCTCGCGAGGACGGATAGTATTGCGATGTCAGATATTCCCAAAATGAATCATAGCCCGACAAGGATGCAGCGCACTTGTCAAATTAATCTCCCACCAGCACCGAGTGACAATCCATTTACTTCTGTGTAGATGTCCATGTGCAGCTAATCCCACGCGGTCCAGGTGTCAAATAACAGAGCAGAGATTCCTTTCATATTCATAGCTCCGTGCCATTAATCATACCTGTAACATGCACATTGGAGTGAGAGCAAACTGCGGTTTTCCAAAAACGCCACACAACAAAGTGTGCTTGGTAGGGGGGGATCTGTGGAGCAAAGAGAGCAGCGATGCTCCTCAAAGTCACTTCTCCGTCTAAAGCCCGAATCAAAGGTAAAAGCCTTAGGAGAGGCTTGGGTACACGCCCACGCCTGTCATTATAACTGTCAAATTAAGATGCACTGAGATGAATTACACTCCACTTGAGTTTTTGTTGAAGCATAAGCTCTAAAATGGTCCACTTGTCTTTTTGAAAGATAATAAAGGTGATCATCCAGCAACACGTGAGAGCATGATGGAATAGTTATACTGTGTCAAATACTAATCCAACTTTGATGATGAATTTCCCTTTTTCGTTGTTGTAGTTTATTTATCAAACAGAACCACCAAAGTAAAAGCAGAAATGCACACCATATACTCACACCTCACCAAATAATCAATCATAATTACAATAGATTTAACATGCCCCTATAGTGGATAGTAAAAGGTAAGTGCAACTATATGACGTAGAACGTTCTGAGAACAATTTTAGAACAATGCTGACATCCTTATGGGATCAATGTATGCAACAGTTTCCAGGTCTAGAGGACTGAGAGTTATAGGCCATGTCAGGTGTGAGAGTTTGAGGGGATATACGGTAAATATGTTTTGAGATTTAAGATTGGAAAATAAGATTTGAAAACGGCTGTTGACTTTTCGTGACTGAAAGATTTATCTGTGACGAATGATAGAATTAGACTGTACAGACATCTGTGTTTGCGTGTGTGTAACTGGAGTCTGCGCAAATCTACATTGGCATTTTAGGCATTTTGGGTAGGGGGCCAGATAGGGGACAGACTCAGAGGAGGGAATATATTTCTCTCTCTCTCTTCTCATAGGATCCCCAAATGTAGTTGTATGATTGACTGCTAAGGTGCTAAGCAGGTCTGTTTCTCTTGCATGCGCAAAAGGTCTGCAGTTGATTCTGGGTGTTTTGCCTTTGGATTCTGTTGTCTTTTAAAAGCTTTCAAGTAGAGAAGTGTAAATGCCACACACGTTTCCATTGACCAGGTTGCACGGTGCATCTACAGACTTTTGAAACGAACTATTATGGACAAATAAGACAAATATATTTCTCGAAACTGTTTCAGTTTGATGAGAAGTGGAAAGTATGGTGGGGGGGGGGGGCAGCTCATAATCCAAGGCATATCATCTCATCTGTCAGACATGGAGGGAGACCCTCAACATGCGGCCAAACCGCTTTAATGTTTTATTGGTCCAAACTGGAAGGCTCTTGACAGATTAAATCGCCCAAGTTGAGTCAAACTGAACAAGTTTCTCTCACTGAAGACTACAGTGAAGGTAAAAAGATATACTGAAACAAGTAAAAACTAATGTGCGCTGAGGTTCAAGCCTGCAAGAGCATCCCAAGAGGTGATGTATGTGAGATGTAGACACAACCTAATATAAAGTTGGGCATTTATAGTGTCATTGAAAGCTGAGAGGGCAGGAATGAAATCTTGGTCAAATAAATCTTTATTACTGTAATTTTTTTCAATTTACACGTAAATGATCAAACCACTGTGGGGCATGCATGTGTATGTGTAACACACATTAACTGGCTCAAGTAATCATGGAAGCTAAATGGGAACGCCTTTGGGAATTTGAAGGAGATATTATGTGCACATATAATAAAAGGCCAACAGATTCTATGAAGGTGTAGCTTAAGCTCTCAGATCGCTGTTATGAAAACAAACTTATGAGCCTCTAACTCCAATTTCCTTTCACTTTGAGTTGCCTCCTGGGGCGATCATTACCATCAAACACCAGACTACCATAAACAACTGGAACAGAGGATAACAGAGGAAACCTGTAATAGTCTCATACCGTACTCCATAACATGTTGAAATAATTATCCAAAGATGAACTAAGAGATGTAGGATGAAAATCACTTTCAATAAAAGTATTTCAAAGATGAAATCTTTCCTGCTGAGTTTGAGATTACGTACAGAGAAATTGGTATATTTGAACATAGAAAACACAAATGCACTTACATGAAACACACACACCTTCATGGAAAGATTGGGGCATGCTCTGGCATGATGATCCAAAGTCCCCCGTAATGTTTACCTTCTCACTCTGACGCTCTCATCATGATGGATTCTGTGCTTATTTGGCAGGCATGTGGAAATGTGAGGAAGATTCCAGCTGCCACTCTGTCCTGTTTTTATTGGCCTCCTCGTATGTTTTAGAAGAAAACATTTTGGGTGTTCAAAACCTGGGGATTTACTGAGTCATTACCCCACGGAGTGCTGTGGAGCTCCTGAAACAATATACAGGTGGAATTAACGTCTCAGAGGCTGCAGATAATATGTAAGCCTGTTGAAATGAACACGAGGATCTGTGATGTAAAATGAATGAAAATCAAGCACAGAAAGTAAGTGGATTCAACTGTGATACAGAGTCACTGATACATGGAAATGCCCCTTTACTTTCACACGTTAAAGCTTCACGCTTAGTTGCCTTTGCTCCCTGAATCCTACATACCAGATGTGTTTCCTCTGCTCATGGAGATGGCTGGAACAGGGTAGAGTCACGGACAAAAAACACCCAAGGCCGAGCTGAACTTTCCACCAAACAGAACATCATATTATAGCTATACAGTTGGCAAGATGCCTCTCTTTTACGAGAAACAGCTGATGTGAAGTTGGAATTTTATTTCAAATCCATAAGAAAACACAAGCTACATGTTTGAAAGAGACAAACCCATGGACTGATCCTCAAAAACAATTTGGATAATTGTTTTTTTTCACGTTGCAAAGGGTCAAAAGTGTATGTGGTTACCCAAAATGGTAAGCATAATAGGTACTGCTACTACTGCCAAACTATAAACCTGTTGCAACACACAAATGCTTCAAATCTCCCTCAAGATAAATGCTTGTTGAGAGGTTGATTCCTGATTGATACCTATGGTTTAACCGATTATTAAACAGAGTTTTGCTGAGGCTGGGTTGTGAAAGGCATGGAAAGAATAATATTATCCAAGGACTAAACTACTGTCTACCATGAAACATAAAGCACTCAACTTGAAAAGGAATATTGCTCAGCGGTGGTGATGTAAAGGGAAACCCCTGGCATATGGTAATGCAGTAGTTCTACTGTATTGTGTTTGAAAACACGGGTATGGTATGATTTGCTGAAATATTTTTTTTTCTGTATACATTTAAAAATATGTCATGAAAATAACTGTGAGCAGCTGAGAAATGATAACTTTTGGCCGAGATACTCGGATAGGCTTTAAACACATGTCTCATGCCAAAGTTGATATTTTGATTGATTGCAACAATCACATTCTTGTTTATTCCAACCAGCCATTATTAAATATGACATGTTTAGCTGATCAGGAGGAGATGGAAATATGTATTGACACTTTTTAGAGACTATATTAAAAGACTAAATTAACACACGCGTGTAGGCAAACATCTCATCTGCTGAAAAACAAGATCAAAGGAAAGATGCCAGGGAATGCTTTTTTTCTGAGGCTTGCCCAAGCAGATGATGTTGATGCAGTTTGAAAGAAACATATGTCATCTTATATACAGCTGTTTTGGATATGGATTGTGTTAGCACTGCCACATTTCACTTTTCTTGTCTGTTCTTTATCTTTGCCATCATTAGAAATAATACCAACATTCCTATATGACAGCACTAGCAATAACTTCTGTTCTTCAAACCATATGTTGTGTTTTGTAACAGCTGTAATTTCTATGAAATTACATAAATAAAGTACTTGATTCTATTGGTATGCATGGTAGGAAGTCTTAAGACTTAAGAGTTTTGGCTCAGCTAGTAGATCAATCATTTTACAGACTGCTGAGAGGCCTGGCCAATATGTTCTTTACTACTGTATGGACACTTCAACAGCTAGCTAAACCATTCAGCCAAAAACAATCTAAAGCCTGTTACTCGAGCCTACTCTGATTATTTATGTCAGAGTTTAAAGTAGGGTTGATTGTTTGATTAGCTGTGGATGGCTGAGTAAGAAAAAAGGCACAGCAACAGCATATGAAACGGTAATCTTTACATTTATTTAGCTTTGCACTGGAATCTGACTCAGGGGTAAGATCCTTTTTGCAGAATGGAACCTAAGGCGTTTGAAACAATAAATGTAAATGTTTTTATAAATTGGGTATATATTCAGCTGTTATGCTTTATGACTCCCTAAGAAGGAAGAATCCCTAGCCCTGTACCCCAACCCTCCATGGCTTTACCCCATAAACGACAACGAAAGGATCCATGAGACATGTTTAAGCCAATTTATTCAAGGAAAGTAATGCAGAAAAAAAAGACAGTGAACATAAACAAATGAGATGCAATCCATTGACCAATGGAGGATAAGTGAGGGTTTAAGTATGCAGGGAAGTGTACTTTCTCAATGTTCTATGGAGGGTCTATCTTAACCCTCAGAGTTCAAAGGTCAAAGATGATCCATCTTTCTCACTCCAGAATATTTTCCTTAAAAATCTTCCTGTCTTGGTAAATCGCTGGATGCAGTGACTGGGTCATTTGTTCTTCAGACATGTTTTGTTATCTTAATTCATATAGAAATGTTCAACGTTTGCAACATGAATCTATAAATGTTGATGTTCTCTCTTTATATTATTTCATTGGTGGATCAAATTTGGCTTTCAATTTCATAAAATAATAATTAAAATGAAACAATGTTACTATTTGTGTTAATTTGACATTTGTCATATTGATATGACAAATGTCATATCAATGGATGGAGGCAATGGATGGAGATGGCAATTTATTTATTTCTATGCATTTGCAAAGATAAAACAAGTTTGGCAAATTTTTACCTCAATTCTATTTTGCAATCCATGCACAAACAAAACAAACTGTCATACTGTTAATACATACAATGTCATACATAAGTCAATATGTAGTTGTGTTAATTGCTGTGCTAATTGCTTTGATTAAACACGGATTATTTTGTGCAGAAAGACAAATCTAGTAACAATTTTTGGGGAAACAATATATCGTCATTATGTACTAACAGAGACACTCAATTGGATGAGGTTTTGGCGCCACTAAGTGGTGACTTTATAGTAGGGTTGAGGGTTGATGAGTGATGAAACGGTTTTGTTGTGTTTTAAGATGTGTTTTATTACAACTAGCTGCTTTAATGGTAGACTATTGAATAGCATTACAACCTAATTTATAGATCATATTAACGAGACCTAAATCAGAAAAGGAAAACAGAGAAATCGACACTAAAATTGACATACATGGGTCGTGGTTGTCATATCTATAACTCAATTCAAGATGTTTACATTCTTTTGAAAATTAAAAATAGGCTATCATAAATAGTCATGACTGCAAACGTCTGCTCTTGAACGGTGTTTTTCTTTTCTAACAATAAATTAATTTAACACTGTGAATATTAAAATAACCTGACAAGGATAGAATTGACAGAATCAACAATTCTACGGAAAGCACAACAGGACATCCCCCTTTTGTCGTGGTTACCATAGCGTCAGTTGTCAAACACTACCATGACTAGCTAGCTTAGCTTAACTGCTAACTAGATTACACTTATTACTTACGCATATTTTAACACTACGTTAGTTAATTATCACAGTTTTAAAATATTTCACAACGTTCGCTTCCATGGCAAAGTACAAGGTAAACAAAGCACTGTGTAACGGTACATTTTGTTGTCTTATCTTGTTTACTGACAAGATATAACGCTAGCTAACTATTTATGTTATGTTATAGGTTAGGGTAGCTAACCTAATTTGAGCGTCACAGAGTACTCTTCATTAACCTATGGGTACTACGTAGTACAAGGTTCTACGTAAGACTATATATAGCTACTAGTTTGAATGAATTAAGCTAGCTAGTAATTAACAAACCAGAGGAGTAGCTTATGGATGTGTCGTTTGCAGCTGTGCATTAAAGTGTAGCATTAAATAGATTACATCTTCGTTTGCTTTCTTCACCACTGCAGACTTCTGCATACAAAGGTCCTTATGACTATAACAAAAGTGAGGAGCGGTGAGTATTGTTCTTTAGAAGGTTGCACAAGAACAGCTAATAACTAATACTGGTAACAGTCACTAAGTTACAATGTCTCCTCAGGGGGGGAAGATGTGTGCGTTACAAATGTGGCCAACTCAACACCATACAGGGTGTCCTGCGCCAAAGACCAGGTTGGGTTGAAGTCAAAGAGTGAGTAGTGTTGTCTCTTCATCATCATATCAGCTTTCTTTGTCATATTTGTGGCTTGAATCTGGTATCTACTCTTTTTCTCACAGTGAAGGAGAGTGGGACTTCAACTGGTGTGATGTGGGCTGGCTCAGGGAGAATTTTGATCATTCATACATGGAGGAACATGTAAGGGTAAACCACTTTCGCAACCATTATGAGGTGAGGCAGCATCAATCTAGCATGCTTGGAGACTATAAACTGGAGATGAAACAGTAATAAGCATAAATCATTCATATAATCTAAAGTCATGTTATCTTTTTCTGTGTTTCTATGTTTTTATGTTACAGTTGACTCGCAAAAACCTCATGGTGAAAAACCTCAAAAGATACCGGAAAAATCTTGAAAGGGATGTTGGCCGCATGGAGGCATCCAAATGTGATTTCTTCCCCTGCACCTTTACACTGCCCAGCGAATATCATCTCTTTGTTGAAGAATTCAAAAGAAGCCCTGGTAGCACCTGGATCATGAAGCCGGTTAGCTAAAGTAGACCATGCATGTGATCCAGTGCAATAAAATGACCTAAGAACTTAATAAAGGTAGCACCACATAGCATTTAAATCATGTAAATTAACCGTTCCGGTATGCTTATTTAGGTAGCGAAATCTCAAGGGAAAGGCATTTTCCTGTTCAGGAAACTGAAAGACATCATGGATTGGAAAAAGGTAAAGTGTATTTATTTAATTTAAGGAATTAGGTGTAAATTAAATTACTATAAATGGATTTACATTCACACCCACATATTAAGTTTCATAATATTGTGTTTACACAGGATGGCACCCGCTCAGAGGAACAGAAGGATGCAGCTCAAGTGGAAAGCTATGTAGCTCAACGCTACATAGAGAACCCCTACCTAATTAATGGTTGTCACAATCAGAATTGCCAAATTTACAATGTACACAGAAATTTTGATTTAGTGATATAGCGTTGTAAAACCAAGAATGTTACAAGGTTTATTTAAAAGTTAAAGAAAGATAAATACAAGAATTATATCCAGTTGATAATAATATAATTTTATGCTACAATAAACTGAATGAAAAATATAATTATAATTTAATTTAAAAACCATTGAATGTGCTAACAGATGATGAACAAAAACATAAAATGGACAAATTGGAACGGGAGGATGAGTGAGCAAATAGAATTAGATTTATATTCCGGCTTACTTTTTTAACTTTTTGTCCTTGCAGGCAGAAAATTTGACCTGAGAGTCTATGTGCTGGTCACATCCGTACGTATTGAACCTTGTAAATTACAATATTTACCCAAATTGTAAAAATGTGGGCATTTTTGCATCAATGTGTGTTTGTGTTTCAGTATGTTCCCTTAAAGGCCTGGCTGTATCGAGATGGGTTTGGCCGCTTCTCAAGCACCCGCTTCTCCCTTACCAGTATTGATGACAAATGTATCCTTTTTTTCCCATTTAATTAAATGTTGATACACGTATGTGATCTGTTTGGGTCATACCTTCACAAGTTGAGCCTTTTTTCTAATGAAATATTCATTCAAAGTTAGTTTATATTAACCCATTTTTGGAGGATATTGTTCCGAATTTTGTCGCTTTCATCCACATCCTTGTGGAAGGTGTGTTTGTGTCATTAAATATCCCAAATTATACTTAGTACCTCTCTTTAGATATGCACCTCACCAATGTGGCTGTTCAGAAAACAGCGCCAGACTATGACCCCGAAAAGGTGTGTAATTCAAGAACAGGATATGTAAAAGATAATTTTGCTGCATATTTTTGTCTTTTTTTTCTGAATTTTCTCTCCTTCAACCAGTCCACTTTATTCCTGCATTGTTTTTTATTAATCTCTTAATAGGGATGTAAGTGGCAGATGCAACAGCTTCGAAGATACCTGACTGCGAAACATGGCAGAGAGACTGTAGAATCCCTGTTTAAAGAGATGGATAACATCTTTGTCCGCAGTCTACAGAGTGTACAAAAGGTCATTATCAATGACAAACACTGCTTTGAGCTCTATGGGTATGACATACTGCTGGATCACAACCTCAAACCGTAAGTGCTCATACGGTCATACACTGTACGCATGGCAACAAAGTGCATCATCACCGACACATATCCACTTGCAAACATGCATGCTCACAAAGACAAGCACAGACAAGCAAACACGACACACGTTTGCCTTGTCTCCCTGGATACACAAACAAAGTAGTAAATCTTAGGGTTCATAAATAACCTCATAAATCTGCACAGCATATCTGAACAAATTGCAAGGTATGCTACAAATGTGGTGTAAATAATAAGACGCACACCAATTATAGTGCCTCTCCCAATGCAAATGTTGGAACAGTCATTTCGTTGCTTGTACCTACCTAACAATGTTTGTGTGCTCATGGATTAGCCTAATGCCGGCTAAACGTTTGGTGAATGTAATCACCCTCCGTCTTTTTGCAGGTGGTTGATTGAGGTGAATGCCTCCCCGTCACACAGACCCAGTAGTCAAGAGGATTACGAGATGAAGTGCCGGCTGCTGGAAGACACTTTGAATGTTGTTGATATGGAGGGAAGGTAAAGATCTTTGTCATCGTGTCTTTGCCTTTTTGTCATCCGGAGACCAGCTGCGAGGGCTCTCTGTCCCTTCTTTCATTACAGTCATCACAGTCTTTATTGATAGTCACCAATCTATACAAATTTGGAATTAAAATCTTGGGTTATGGTATATTTAGAAATGAAACACATGGTGGGAAAGACACACTTCAATTGCAACAATAAAGAACTCGCTACAATTTCCCTCACAAGGTGAATGCTGCACAGCAGACGATGAGTTCCTTTTATCTCTTTCTGTCACACCGGTGCTGCATTCTGATTAACTTTTTGTTTTTTCTCATTAGGCTGACTGGCAAGGAGAAAAGGGTGGGTGGCTATGATCTCATGTGGAACGATGGGCCTGTCTTTAGAGAGGACGTCAACGTGGAAACATTTGGCAGTTCATGTTTCACTGCCAACACACACTTAGGTAACCTGACTGTGCTGCTGGTGCAAACTTTCTGAGGCAACAATGTGCAAAAGTATATATAATTAAGACCATGGCATTTGATCGTGTGGAAAAGCCTTTATCGTGCTATTATTACATGAAAATAATATATAGCTGCAAATACATAACTGCTCTTTGTTGCAGGGTGCGTGAATGACAGGGAGAAACAGCTTCGCCAGCTTCTAAAACCATTTCCAGGACAGAAGAGGATGTAACCATGTATCATTTTTATGTCCCACCAATAGAGTACTTTGCATGTTTCTGGGAGAAGAAAGGCTCCGGTAAACACAAATAAACTGAAAAACATTAGTAATACTTCATACAAAATGAGCTTTCTGTGATGATCTGATCATATTCCTAGCACTTGTGTTGAAATTTGAACATGCAAATGAATGAAAACTACATTATTTTTAAACTACGGCAAACCTTGTAATTCTTTTAATCGCAGAGTTAAGGCTGGTTAAGTTTAGGATTTTAGCAAAGTCTCAGAAACAAGGACAGGTCAACTGTATATCCTTTCTTCACGTGTCCCAAAGAATGGCCAGTGCATCAATATCCCTTGAGTGCAAAACATTTATTTCTATGCCTTACAAATACTTGCATTTGAACATTGAGAAAATACATACCACAATCTTTCTGCATGCATGTCAACATAATGTACACTAATATTGCCCCTCCTGGCCCCTTACCTATGGCTTTGATACTTTACATGAGTTGAAGTAATGAGGCGCAATCTCAATATATATCACATTTTTTACATTGATGTAGTGTTCCCATGAATCAAGTGCACATGGTAAATCACAACAAACAGATGAGACAATATAAACACAGAGTTCTACAGACTTCAAGTATGCAGTGTGATACGGACGTGATATGTATAACATTACCATGTTGCAGCATAACAGCGATGACGTGTGGAATCATTGAATCACAGGGATGACCAATGCCGTAGACACCAAGTTACATCCAGCTCTTTGACTAAATAGTTTCTTTTTATGCATGACAATGGAAACAAAATAATGACAAAGATGAATACAAGTCAACTACAACACTTTTCATAAATATAACTATGGTATATAAAATTTGGAAAAATATGCATTTACATTTGTAGCAAACACCGTCTTCAATGACAGAAAGAGCTCAGCTCTATGCAAAATACATGATATCATAGACTACAATTCCAGCTGTTCAAACATGAAAAGCCCTTGTAACCAAAACAATTCAAACCATTGCTCAAATATGACTGAGACAAATTACATCACTGCAGTACACCACCACTCATTGTGCCTCCTTTTCAGTCAAAGATGCTTTAATTGAACATATATATCTTAAAACATGAGGCGCCAAAGAAAAGATCAAATGCAACATCAAGTAAAGTAAAAGCATTTAAAACAAATACATTCCAACATCACAAACTCCACTAGTAACGCTATGGTCGTATTTGATGACTTAAATGTAATGATCCGTGTTAAACTTCACTATGGATTACTTGTGCTGAAAGCTGTCCAAGCGAAGAGTAGATGCTTATTTTATGCCTATTTCAACATTAGTAGTACACTGAGAGATGATGATGTGCAGTGCAGCAGAATTCAATTTACATAAAAGCTGTGTTTAATATCTAGTAGTGCTTTGGATCGTAATGAGCCTTCTGTCAAAACACAATCCAACAGTATGATTGTATACTTGCTATGCATTTTGAATTAAATACAGTGTGTATAATTCTGTTCTATCAAGTGTCACATTTTGCTTTGAACTCATTGCTGTTTTATCTTTATTCTAGTTGCACAACTTCTTGTTAGTTTTTACCGATAGAAGGCTGTACATCACTGACTGATTCAGACTGCTGTACAACAGTTTCAACGTGTTAGTATTACACAGATTACACAGAAAGCAAGCATAGCTTCAAGTTCCTGCACCAAGTAACCACTAATTATAGCTTTGTACTGTAGGTTTATAGGCGTTACTTTGCAACAAAGTGCACATTTTTTGTTTTGCCATTCTTACTTATAGGCGGAGCTTTGAAGAGAGGCTGTGGCTCTTTAGCAGCTCTTTTCATGTTAGTTTTAGAGGCCTGACCTACGGCTTCTATCCTCTGCCAGTCCTTCTCTACTCTCTTGGAGGTGATGACCTCTCTCTTACCTGCGGCAAAACCACGTTTCTCTGCACCAGCTGTTTTACTGCCACAAGGCTCTTTTTTAACATCGGTCTCAGAGTTAGCTCGAACGCGGCTTTTCCTGACCTGACCTCGGCTGTTTGGGTTAGTTCCAGATTCCTGGGTTTGCTTACGGGCATTGCCTGAAGCCTGGATGTGTTTGAGATGACTTTTTCCAGCTGAGGGGCTAACTGGGGTCTGGCCTCCTCCTCCGCCCTGTCCTCCGCCCTGTCCTCCGCCCTGTCCTCCGCCCTGTCCTCCGCCCTGTCCTCCGCCCTGTCCTCCGCCCTGTCCTCCGCCTTGTCCTCCGCCTTGTCCTCCTGGGCTTCTACCTTCCGTTGAGGGTGCTCGGGTCTCACTGCTGCTCCTCTTCACTGGTGCTCCAGGTCTGGCTCTGCGCTCAAGCAGCGGGCTGAGCCTTGAGTGGCGCTGGTAGGCATTGGCGGAGCAGCTTCCATTGCACAATGGGTAGCGAATGTGACAGTGAGGGCAAACCGGAAAGCGGGAGTGCTGTTGCTGGACTGAGGCAGGTGATGGGGGGTTGTTGAGGGGTGAAAACGGGAAGGCTCGCTGGCTTTGCCGCTGCCCTTTAGGGGAGTTGAGTCGGGATGGTGGAGCTGTGTGAGGCCTCGGTTGGTGAGCAGTGGTGGCAGCGGGGAAGCTCTGAGGCCTTGTACGGCTCCCAGGCGGACGGCTGCTCTCTGCTTGCACTGTTTGGATCTGGAGCCACTCCAGGTGCAGCAGCCTCTCCAGGTACTTCTCCAAGTGCCCTACAGGCTTGGGCCGGGGGGCGCCACGGCCCTCAGTATGAAGAAACACTGCCAGCTGTCTCAGGCTCCAAGTGTTAAAAGGAGGAGGGAGAAAGTCCGGGTAACTGTAGCTGGGTTTTTCACTCTCATCTTCATAACCCACAACCCCATGAGGTCCAGGGAAGTCTGGGGGAAAGTCATCAGTGTTGATGACCTCGGCCCTGAGGTTGAGGTGAGGAGGGGTGCAAGGGGTACAGGGAGAGGGCAGTACAGGCAGCCTCTCAGAATCTGACAGATCACTGGCACTGTCGGTGTCTTCATCCTTCTGGTGGTAGTGCCGCTGTAGTACCTCCGGGGTGAGGGCTGGGGAGGGTGTTAGTGGGTGTGCTGGCATGTGTCGTAGCCCTGATATTGGGGAGATAGGCAGGGAGAGAGCTCGACGATTTTTCCCCATCCCCCCACGATTCTGCTGTAGCTCGTTGCTGCACTGTGATATCCGTTGATTTTCCAGTTGCTCCTCTTTCCTGTGCACAGATAGATGTTTGCGAACTTGAGGTCTCACATCTCCTTCTTCAGGGCTGTAAAGAGAGACACACAAGTGTAAGGAAAAGCTATTGGAGACATTCAGTAAGAATTCAAACCCCTCACCACACATACCTGGAGAGTTTGCTTGTATTGCGTGTCGTGCCAGATTTCATCCTGCCACCTTTTGACTGTGCACCCTGAACAATCATTATAGAAATCGTGTGATTATTTCAGTCTTGAATTTTATGATATACATTACATAGCCGTCGTATCCTGTAAAAGGACAATAATTGTTTACATGATCTATGTTTAATTTACCAGGATGGCATTTACTCACCTTCGGCACTGTTGTCACTGTGTCCTTATCCTGACCTGGTCCTGGGGGGCCATTTTTCATCTGGCCCACTGCTTTCTTCATCTTGTTACTTTTCTTTGAACTGTGGAAATATTATAGTGGTTTGTCAGGCTCCCCCCTAACCTACTGTATGTCTGAGTCAGAACATAAGAGGTTTAATTTAGTCATATTCGTGTCACCGTAAACGTAGGGCCTACCTGGTTACAGGTGCGTTGTTTTCAGTATATTTTACCCGAATCTTCTCTTTGGAGACGACGCGTTTCAGTGTCGTGGATGCTGTGCGCTCCTGCATGATGGGCCCCATGTTGCAGGTCGCCACAGGGGATGTTGTTCTAAAGCTAAAGAACCCAACCGACATCTCGGATCATATACTCTATTCTGAGAATGAGAATAAAAACACCCATTTTCTCAAAAGTGGTGCAATGCATCATGCGCAGATGTCCAGTAGCGACAGTCGTTGTAGGTTAAACTCGTCTCTCCTTTTGCCGTCGACTCGCCTATCCGTTTGATTACAATCCAGCGATTATTTTTAATGAATGGCTGACAGCAGACGTGTCTCTTTCTCGACTGTCGTCATCCTCGCCATCAAAAATGCAAGACGGTAAACCAGCGCAAACGCTTTGTTTGGCTCTCCGTCCCAGTGAGATATAGGTTTGTTTACCTGCTGCTTACTGGCTCGCCGTTTTGTCGAAGTGGGCACCACCGGTGCATCATGGGACTTGGAGTAAAGTCTTACCACTCGCTCTGTCAAACGAAATACGCAATTGCTCTTTGGTGATACTACGTAACATATATATTGGAGACATTAAGTAGATGAACGGCCAACACTGTGTTTGAGGAAAAAGTTCAAAACAATGCACACAAACGCAACTGCTCATCTTAAATTACTCAATTTCCCATGGAACCTCTGTGATGTTCTGGACCGTTTGAAGCTTCCGGTTTACTGTGCGCAGGTTGGCTGATCTCCATCGAGGACATGCTACGGGCATGTATGTGTATTTGACAGTTATGAAGACGATTAACTTTAGGTGATCAGTTTGTGTGGCGGTGGCCAACAGCGGAGACTGCATGACGCACGGAAAGGCGCAACTCGAATAAATACTACTTTAAATGAAGGATTCAGCTTAGGCTACGTCCTGCAGCTCAGATGCAACTGACGCCTTACATCTTTATATGGTGAGGTGATATCAACATCTAATTATATTGAAATTATATTAAATGTAGTTTGTTTGAGTAACGCACAGTTGTACAGAGAGAGAAAGGGGTCATATGCATTTAGGCACGTACTCCCAGAGTACACGCCTACTCTCTTTCCTGCTAGGACGGTTTCTGTTTTGTCATATTTACAACAACAAGATTGTTCTTGTCAAATTTGGTAAAAAGGGTACATTGATTTTACGACTGGGTCATTATGCTTTAGATAACAATGACATTATGTTTTGGGAATGAATATGACATAAGAGAGCCTGATAATAAACAATGCTTCACAACTTTCTTTACAGGTTAAAGCAGGACACCAGTTCTCACCGAACATGGACAGAGGGTGGTTTATTGGACAGGAGAGGATTCCCCCTCCGGAGGAGGAGACGTCCACCTCTTACAGCAGTGTCTCAAGGCCTTGCATTACTGTTAACGTGACTAAAATGCTTCAAGCTGACAAACCTAGTGCAGTAAAGAAACTAATTCCAATCCGCCCCCCAAGCCCCAGAGTCTCTCTGCAGAAGGAACAGGAGTTCCATTGCGGTCTCTCTTGTGAACCCCTGCCTAAACCCATCATCAGACAACGATCCCGCTCTCTGCCCTCCGCTAGAGAGAAGAAGAAGAAATGCAGAAATTTTGGCGTACGCTTTATTGATTCTTTGGGGCTTGACCTGGAAAACATCAAGCTTTTCAAATCGGGAGAAGATCCATTTGTACCACATCATGTTACCTATAGATTGTCGATGGGTGCAGAGTTGGCGGATGGAAGACATCTGGAGATATCCTTGCCATACTTGAAGCCGGTTTTTGCCCAACAACCTGGCGACCAGCACGGATTCCTGCATCGCCTTTATGAGCAGAAAGTGTGTCTCGAGAGAGTCTTGTGTTTTGAACTGGGTGTCATCGGAATCACCCAGGTCCTTAATTTGGATTTTGAGAAAGATGTCATAGCTCGCTATTCATTTACAGATTGGAAGAGCAGCACAGAAACTAAGGCCTCTTGGGTGTCCACCATCACCAAGACCTGGGAAGGAGGAGAGGGCCAAGTCAGCTGTGATACATTTCGTTTCCACTTGCCTGTCCCTCCATTCCTGCAGCCAGGAGCAGTGTTACAGTTTGTCATTAAATACAGAGTCTGTGGGGCTGAATACTGGGACAACAATGATGGAGAGAATTATAAGTTAGTTTGCCATAACTACAAGCTCACTGTGCCCAAAGAATGCGAGGATAGCATGGTGCACTTCATTTAAGGTAGATGAAACCTATTTAGAGCACCTGATGATGGCTAAATATGCATAACTGCATTGTGACATGTAATGTTGATTTTGTTAGACTAACAGAGGATTTCTTTGAATCAAGTTAGATTTGAGATAAACTGTCAACTCAGGATAGACCTAGTCAGAGTGAACAATAACACAAACACCAATGCACTTTTACCTTACGCCAACTTTAATGCCACTGTTTCACTTTTTTGTTTTCTTTTTAAAAAATGCACTCTATAATTTTATTTTACTGGTTTAAAAAAAAAAAGCACTTTAATGTGGGCACTTTGAATGGATGTGACACCCACTGAGCATTATATACATATTCAGTCAAATTTAAATTATTTCACATCAGTCCACTCTTTTTTCCAGCTGGGTAGAAAGAAAATAGTTTTAATACAAAGCAGGAATTTTGTCTGCAGAACTATTTTGCTCTTGGCTGTTATCAGGCAGAATTGTCAACTCGTCATAATAGGTGGAGTGGGCCGATTCAAAGGTCTGGACTCAGGCAAAAAAACCTAACCCTGTAATCAAGAGTTTATTTTTTAATCATATGTTATGAAACCAAATGCCATAACCATGCAATATATACAATTTGAATGACTCAGATATGTGTATTTTGTTTAACAATAAAACACAGTTGCCAATAATGTGAGGTTGTTATTATTTGTAGAAGTGTAATTTATATTCTTATTGAAGGCTGAAAAGATCCTCTGCCGGCTAGCTCCAACCAGTTTCTTTTATTAGCCTTTCTGAAAAACTGTTCAAAACACATTCTTTGTGACATAATATTCTAAAACATAGTTTTTAGTCTGTTTTTAACTAAACGGGATTAAACTACTCAGTTGTTGCTATCATGACAAGAACAGATCCCAGTAGCCGCCAAAGCTCATGGGAAATGTAGTTGAGTACAATTTATTCCTCTATTTGTTATGGTGAGGACTTGCTCTAAATGTACTATCCAGCACGGGATTAGAAGTAATAGCTTTGCCCTTTCTGCAGGTAACAAACTACTTGGTTAAGTTTAGCCCAAAACCATGGTTTTGTTTCAAATAATAAACCCTTTCAAGGAAAACGCTCCTCACGCGCTGGACTCTAGCGACGTGTAGTGCGCATGCGTAATGAAGGAAAATGCTTCGCGCGTTTCGAGCTGAGCGGTGTAAAATAGTTATCAAGTCATGTTTCTAGGCGACATTTGACATCGCGGTAAGTTACGTTATAAAAATAAAATCAACGATTGTAGTTATTCATCACCTGCTGAACGTTGGGAGGAAAGGTTACATTAGCTAGCATTAGCAGCAGGACGTTACCGTTAAACCACGGAGTGGTGAAGCCAATAACGGAGCCATATGTAAACCGTCCGTTAGCTAGCTAAGTTACAGGTAACATTAACTCAGCTTGACGTTAGCTTATTTCAACCTTTGTGTTCAATGATTACAGTTAGTTAGCTACATATAGTAACGTTAGCTAATGTAGGTTCACGTTTCGTAAATAGTTTTGACAGATATAACGTTATGTGACACGGTTAGCTTGTAAATGGTACAAAGTCAGTAAACGTACAAAGTTCGCGCGCAAGTAACGTTAAATGGCAAGTTGTTTGCATATTACCTTTTACAGAGTTTTTGAAGACAGCAGAGGCCAAGCGGAAATTAATCCGTTTCTCGAAAGGACAGATGGCTCCGAGGCACGACACTCAGGTGAGAATGCAAACCTTTAAAAAAGCACAAGTTACCATTCCTGTCACGTTACTTAAATATGTGTTGTTGGAGAAGTGAACAGTTAACTTTGATGAACTCTTTTCATGTGCAGTTGGAGAAAGTCATTGATGAAGTTTTGAAGAGTGGAGATGTCCAAGCACTGGATGTATTCTTGCAAAGGAACATATATGAAGGGCCCCCCATAAAATGTTCCTTACAGTTTCTCACCAAATTGGATAGACTTGTTAGCAGGGTAAGATGTATCCCAGCTACACTTGATATGCTACTTTGATGTGTTGTGTGGGTGTAATTAAACCATATCGTTACTGTTTATGTAGAGTTTGGATCAAAAAGATTCCAAGTCGGCCAGTTTGGGTCTTGTTGTCCTTTACAAGTGTGGGACACACCTGAAACTACCGGGTGGTTGTCGAGGGCTGTCAGGATTAATAGCCCAAGGCCTGCTGAAAAAGATAAGTATACATCAAATACACACAGGCACACTGTGTGAGTTAGTCAGTTGTTTATTAAACCTGGTTTTGTGCACATGGTGCAGTGGTTTGGGAAATGCAGGCAGCTGTGGATCCAGTGTGGCCCCCAGTGGGATGAAACCTTGTTCAATCTGTCTGAGGACTTCTTTGATGCCTTAATGGTGAGCTGATGTCTAACAGTAAAACACACCTTGTATAATACAACAATGGACCACTGTTAGTGTCCATAATGTAAACTTATTTCTTACCTCCTTGTTACAGGTGGTTCATGAAGCATGCAAAGAGGGTAGGCTTGTACTTTTTCTTTTCCTTATTTGTCCTCAATATATTTGTTTCATCTTCAGTTAGCCCTTTTTAGGACCCAAGTAGAGTATATGGAAACTTGAATTGCTAAATATTTAACAACTTCTTAAGTTATCCAGCACAGCTTCTTAGGACCACATCAACTTTCATGAAGAATTATGGTATATAAGTAAACACTTTCTCCATTCACAGTGTTGTTCAACATGTATTTTTTGCAGGAACATGCAAAATCACAGAGTCCTTCCTGTATCCCGTTGGTCAATTGGCAGTAGACCCCAGAATCTACATCCTGATCCAAAAAGAGGTTTGAAATGGTTTTGATAACTCCTTTTTTGGAATAGCATTACAAACTGTAAATCATGTGTTTGTTCATGAATTAATTTGCAAACAATGTCTTGACAGGCAATTCGTAAATTTAACTTAATTCTGGACAAAATCCCAGAGGCGCTTAAGAAAGAGAGGAAGATCCTAACATCACAGGAGGCCTCAGATATCATGTATGTCATGGTAGTTTCCTCATAGTAAGGATCATTATTATTCACTTTTGCAACTACACATTCTTGAACTTTTGCCTGTTCGTTACATTTCTATAGGATGAAGTTGGCTGGTCAGATAATGAAGGGTGGTGGTAAGTATCTTTTTTTGAGTAGTTCCATCTCACTTCACCCAGAAGCATACAGGGACACAAAAATGTACAACACACTTTGTTTGCTTCAGATTACGACTTGCAGACAGCCCTGATGGAGGCGTTGTGCAGAATGGCAACTCCCGACCAGAGGAAGGAACTGGCCGATCGATGGTTCAGCATGGAGCACGTGGCCAGTGCCCTCGTCAAGATCCAGGATTCTGAGTTTGAGACGGTAAAAAACATGCATCACCTTTGCCTTTCATTTGAATTTATATTATTTTGCACTACAATGGTAATGTATTGTAATAACACTACAACAGGAGCTCAGCTACATAGAATTTAATATAAGTGTGTGTGATTTCAGGATTGTCGCAAGTTTTTGAACTTGGTGAATGGGATGCAGGGAGACAGGAGAAGGTAAACAACAACCATAATGCAGTTCTACCCAAGACCTGGGCTGCAGTCGAATAGTCAAAAATATTACGTCCTCATATCCTTTCCTCACCACGTTTCCTTGACTTTGATGGAAAATGTCATTATGTCAAGGAAAGATGTGTAAGACAATTCATAAGGAAAAAACAACCGCAATCCAACTGCACTTACACGATGCAATGGCAGATCTTTTTTTATTTTTTATTTTTTTCGAAAATGAGTAGAGTGACAAATTCAAAATATAATCACAAACCCTAAGAAGGATGTTTACAATTTAGAGAGCGACGGCAGATATTTCTCTTTAAATGTTGCTGCCGCAATGAATTGAGGAGTGGCATTATCTTCCTTTAGTAAAGGATGGTCCAGTGTTCCCTAGGCGCTAAGAAAGCAGTGAAGCACCTTTACTGAGCATTTAGAGAATTAGTGCAGCTCTTATCATGGCGGCCACTTGGATACTTCCAGGTCATTTCACTCAGTTAGGAACCTTCCTAAACAAAAAAGATTAATTTGACTGCAGCCATGGTCTGGGTGACCTGAGGGGCCTTTAGGGTTAGGAGTATTTAAATGTAACTGTCATCTCACACCCTTGACTCTAGCACTGTTTTTGTCATAGTTCTGCCTTTTTACCCAGTGATGTATCATGCTCTCATACAAAAAACGTTTGTGTAATTCTGTGCACATAATCACTGTGTCCTCTCTGCACTATAGAGTGTACTCCTATCCTTGTTTGGAGGTTTGTCTGGACAAGCATGAGGTCAGTATTAACAGGATTTATACGGTAAAAAAACAAAGTAACAAATACAGATTTTGTCTGTCAATTCAAGGCAATGCTATTAAATGTTTGTTAAATTGTTAAAATAGTTTAAGTGTATTAGTAGATGTGTTGGAAGGATTTTGGTTTTGTTGTCAGCTGCTGATGCCTGCTGATGAGAAGCTGGAAGAATTTTGGATTGACTTCAACCTTGACAGCCACAGCATCTCCTTTTACTTCTCTTTGTCTGATGGAGAGTCACAGGTACCTCGCAATCATTCATGAAAGTGAAAATCAAAGTCATTTGCAAACATTTACATCATACATAGAAGATGTATATCTGTCCGATTTTTAACGCGGAGTGGATTCCTTTTGGTGTAGGAAGGCCAATGGGAAACAATATGTGTCAATGAGAATGAAGTCCAAAGCTACACTGTTACAGGTAACCAAAGCAGAGAGAGCGCTGCATTTGTATTTACTCTTCGAGCTGCTAAGTTCACCCAAACAGTCAACCAGTAGTAGTAGTAGTAGTGGTGGTAGAAGTAGTAATTAGTTTCTAAAAATAAAGCACATAATAAAGAATAAAAAGCAATAATATATCTATATATTGTCTATATATATTGATAGATAGGTGGAACTTGATTTTGATGGAACTGATAGATTTATCTCTTTTGAAGGCATTTTCTATAGTCGGGAAGCATGCATAACGAATTTACAAAGAGCACTAAACTTCTGGAAGATAACATATCCTTTTTTGATTTACATCATGTGACTGGCCATGCCTTTTAAATGTGTGTGTGTGTGTGTGTGTGTGTGTGTTTTTTATTTCCAGAGGAGGGCAAGAGGAAAGTCTTGCGGTTACTGTTGTCAGAGGTAATAGTTGTGGGAGGGATAGAAGGATCGAGTCTTACCATCCACTTCAGCTCCTCCCTGGACATCCTGCAGGCTGCTCGCATTGTTTATGGACAGTGCAAAAACAAAGTAGGTCATGGCTTATTTACTCCATTCTTAATGACCACAACATGTTCAGAAGAAGATTCTGTCTTCCTGTGCCACCAAAGTACACAACTATGAAATGTTCTAGATACAATAATGATATTGAAAATAATTTGGATTCCCATGAAAAGTGTATTTTTTATACACTGTTTGTTTTACCAAGCGTCTCTTCCTGTTAGAGCTTTGTAGGGAAGACACGCACATCGGTAGTGAAGACCACAGTTAGAATTATAATGACAGACAACATCTCCCAGGTAAAGAATGGTCTGTTAACACGATGTTCTCAATATGCAGCTATGATGTGATCAATGAATGCAGGCCACTCTCCATGCAGGTTGTTCCAGAGAGTCAGATGTCCCTTGATGAAAGTGAGAAAGATACGGCCCCCTACCTTTTGCCTGCCCGGTGTGCAAACGTGCAGGTGAAACAGTTTTGTACTCTATATTAAGTCAAATATATGGCAGTTAAACACACTTAAGTGTGTTAACAATGCACAAGTTTGTCAATAACAGTTCAGTGAGCTCATAAACATACATAATCAGGCTCTCCAGGTCTTTTGGATTGTTGTAGTTACAGAAGTAATTAATGCAAATTCAATTGTTAAAATAATTACATTTTTCTTCTTACTCCAAGTACATTAAATATACGTTAAGACAGAACAATAGTTTTGTCCAGGTATTACTCAATTTTGTATGAAGTGATTTAATGTAACATTACATTACATAACACCGCTCTGTTTTATGCCTACAAATGATCGGATTGTTTGGGAGAAAGACAATTAAGGATTGTAAAGCAGACTTTAACATTAAAGTGTCAAACTATTATGATTTTGATTGACTTCAGTAGAGTTTGTTAACAAATGGTGGTCATTTGTGGTCACGTGATGAATGTACTTTGTAACAACTCTACCATTCTGTGTCATGGCTACATTAAAAACAAGTTATGATTTAATATATCACTCAAAAAGTGCAATTTTTAGTTGCAGCGTCTTTGGTAAGGCGACGTCTTACCAGCAAAGGCCAGCAGGTGGCGTAAAGGTCGAGGGAACCAGCCATATCAGCCTTTTCGCTGGCCAGTATTTTCCCAACCAATCAACTGTTGACCCTGAAGACGTTGGGCTCTATTCAATGTAGAATTGTAATAGTTCCATTTTTCTGGTGATCCTGTGCCATTACCTTCATTTGAAAGGGATTACACATTTTAAAAAAGCTTTTAGTTTCCAGTTGTCATTTTAGTGTTACATTTAAATTGACAATTCACAGACACATTCTGATTTTCCATCCAGATGGTGACCCCAACCAGGATGAGGCTTTCAGAGTCCACCACCTTCATCAGCAACAGTGGAGGAGGAAGTGTGCATGCTGCCGGTTCCCTCTCTGCTGTGATGTCCTCAGGTGGGTGTCACCAGAAATTGTCAGGAATTGCTGTCACACCAATTGAAATAATTTAATATTCCCTCAAAACAGTTATACAAAATATATATATATCTATACAATTTTTTTTAAATATAATTGTGCCTTGTAGTTGGGGAGGAAACGGTTAGGATGGATCCTAATAGGTCACATCTAGTGAGGAAAATAAAGTGATTAGTTTACAATAAATCAAACTAAGGTAATTTATTTATTCTCTCTTTCTTTGTTATTGTCTATTAAGATGAATTAAAGAGAGGTTTGTCAACTCAGATCGTATTATGACTTTGTTCTTTTCTTCTTTTTTCCCTTATAAACACTTCAGCCAAGGGTAAAGGGAAGCCATCTCTGGAGATGGTTCGGTCATGTGATAGGCAAGGTGAACTTTACCTGGGAGAGCTAAGGACAACTGCTAAGACCTGCAGTGATGGCACAACACCTAACAGCACAATAGCAGGTGGCATGACAGAGCAGGTATGAAATATACTGAATACTTAAGCTCAGCAAGTCCAAAATGTGACATTACAGTATTCAAAATGTGATTTTATTTAATGTCATGGTGTCTGTCTCAGAGGGCTACAGCTCTACAGAGCATGGCTTCCAAACAGTCCGATAAGAATATGGTTGGCAAACACAAAAAGGTATAATCACCAAATTCACATGTTTGTGAATAAAGTTGAGCTGGGTATCTGTCGTCTACTTTTGCACAATCGTTCTGAACTGTATTCAGTATACATGAATGAGTGTATGAAGTGATTGAACTATGAACTCAACAATATTGCTTTGAATCATTTCAGTAACAACTATTAGGATTAAACCTTGTGGTGCAAAATATATCGTTGCATTTGTTGTCTCTGCTTTTTCTACAGAACATACCATTGGCAGAAGCAGTGGATATGGTTCTATCTGGACAAGGAGAAGAACAGTCTCTGGGTATTGTAATTGCTATAGTGACTTTAGCTTAGCCAGGAAATATAGCTGCATTGTTATTCTTCAGAAAATCTTGAACCCACCACTGATCTTTTTACTTACAGAGTCTAGTGTTGTGCCTGACACCCAACCCAGAACTGAGAGGAACATGTAAGCACTGTGAAGAACCTCCACACTGTGTGTAAATCTTGTGTTTATACAGTATGTGTATGAGTGTAATCTTAACATCTATTTGTTCAAATTGCAGAACTTTTAACTGGAACAAAATGTCTGTTTCTGAAATGCTAATGATGCCTACACAGACAATCAATTCTCTGCCAAGACCTGGTAGGCAAAGAAGTCATGAAATTATTTAACCATCTCTAAGATGTCATGATATTAAAAGCTATGAACACACATAAAACCTAGCTTTTTTTTAAAAACTAGTGTCCTCAAACTTTAACATGGTTTTCAAACTATTTATTCTCTTTAGAGCCTCGTTTGGCACAGCAGCAGCAGGAGTGCCCGTCATCAGCACAGAGATTGCCACTTCCAGGCTTAAGCTCAACCAGCCAAAAGCAACTCCATACCGAACTGACCCGGCGCCTGCAGAAGGTCCTCAGTGAGAGGAACCAAGATCCTGCACCACAGGAGCCATTGGCACCCCAGAGAAAGTTGCCTGATATCAGAGAGGACTCTAAAGGCAGAAGCTCTGCGGTTCAGTGTGCTTCAGTACTTTGTACTCCCAAAGAGCAGCAGACCCAGAGAAATGGCCTCGCCAAAGGGAAGAGCAAACGCCTGATGTCACTGGAGGCAGATGCTGCTGTAACCAAAGATCCAGCCAAGACCTCCTCAACCAAAGCTCGGCAGAAGAGAGTACCACCCAATGTGAAGGTTGAAACTGATAGTGTCCTCTCAAACAAAGAGAAGGTATGAATTCTGTAAGCTTCAAGCATCTTGAGTCCCAAACACACAGAGCAATAACGGACAAGCCTCATTTGATAGGCATCTTTTAAAGCTGCTGTGGCGCGCTGCAATGCCAACACCACAGAACAGCAGTGTTTAGGAAAAGGGTCACTATTAAGGCAACATTTGTGTTTATTACAGATACCCATAATCTTTTAACGTGATCTAAATAATGAAGGTCCTGGTTCAAAACTGAAGTAGATACGATTTAGTTACTATACTGATATACAGTAGTTGAAAGTTAAACTAGATAATGTGAAATTGTCATCACACCATCCACTAGATGGAAGACGTATCACTGTTGGAGTTGTTGTACAGTGGTGTTACATAGTGAAGCTTCGCTTCATGAACATCAGACTGAGCACAGATACCGTTCAGCAGGGAGCACATAACTCTAACAACAATGTATTATTTTAGTCTGAAGTCTCAAGAAGATTGGAATCAATGTAGTGAAAGCTGAGGTGACCTACCGTTGGCAACGTTGGTGAGAGTATAATCTTCAATTAATTAAATAAAATGTCATCTAGGAATAGTTCTTAGCTTTTTATTCCCTTTAGCTCTCATGAGGCTGCTGGGTCCTCATTTTACGCTCTGAAATAGAAACAACGGTTAGAGAAGGAGTGTCCTGTCGCTTAAACTTGTGACGCATGTACGGTCAGATGCTTTCAGTGCTTTTGTGCCTTTGCAGTCAATTCTATGGCTATTCGTGTTGTATATTGTGATTCTCATACCTACTGTCTCTATTCAGAGAGATGCAGAGGTTGCAGGCAGCCTGGTGAAGCTCATCTCGAGTCATTATGACGTTAACACTCGATCCACAGCAAAGGTTACTGCAAAAGTTATCACTCAGAGCTGGATTCCTCCTCTTGTCAACAGGTACACAGATTGATAATTGTAGGGCAACATTATGTTAATGAACTAATGTCATCGCTAACATAAGTACGTCGCTTATTGACTGTTTTTGTAATAGGCCTATCTTCAATATGAGCTGGTTATCAAGTGCTAAAGTAAGTGATCATTACTTCATATATGTAGGATTGACTATATGTTCTCCTGCTTGATGAACTAAACATGATCTTAATCTGCTGTAGAAAGAAGCATCAGGAGCTGTAAGCCTAATGAAATCATACAGCAAAACCACAACTAACTCTACGAGGCAGAGGTACTACAATTCAGTTCAAATATTTGGTGTACATTTGGATATTTCAGTGGCTTTCATTGTATTTTTGGATGTCATTAATGCTTTTGTTTTCTGTTGTACAGAAAAGATATTTTTGCATTCAACATTGATGCACCATTGAGTGTTAAGGTAAACATTAATGTTACCTATGTTGTACTTAAACACCTGGTCGTGTTATACCTGAGTACTTGACATGCCACTGTAGTGTTTGAAGTCTGTTTTATTGCTCTTTAGGGAAAGAACAAAACATTCTGTAACACCTCTGCCATATCAAGCAGGTAGGTCTGACAGTCAAGAAATGCAACCTCTGAAACAGTAACCTTTCTGTTTAATACTCTAATTTCATACTCTCTATATTGTTTGACAGTAGCATCCATGACCCACCAGCACTCCCCAGCACAACCAAGAAAGGACAACCTGTGGCAAAAGTATACATTTTTGTACTGTAGTGTTTAATTATAGGTATTCAAAGTTGAAGACACTGTGTGTGTGTCTGTCTCTGTAGACATGCGTGTGTGAATGCTTACCGCATGTGTGCTCGCGTAGTGTAGGAATGCCCACTTTCCAAATGGTATAATAGCTTACAGTCACTGTCAATTATTATGCAGCAATCACAAAATAGAAATACATCATGTGCTAGCCAGTAAACCATCTCGTTCTATGCGTCTCTATCTGTCTCCCTGTCTTCCACTACCTTGCCTTCTATGTTACAGGAGAAGCGGTATGTGAAAAAGCATCTGTTCAGTGACACGGACTATAGCACTACAGATGTCAGCTGGCTGAGGGAATCGAGCAGGAAACCCAAACCCAAAGTTACCAAATACTCCAGACAGGCGCCTGTCAAGCCTAGAGCAATGTCACCTCATACTTCATGTAGGCCATTAAAGCTACACATTCATACTGCTCACAATCTGGAATTCATCTCATTAATAATGGATGTGGATACAATTATTTCAAGACATCAATATTTCCATAAAAAAGTGGTCTTTCTTTTAATACAGTTGAATCCCCAGATCTACCCCCAGCCTCTCCAAAGCCTGTAAAGAGCAAAACCAAAGTCAACAAGGTAAGGCACCGTTGTTTTTATCCTAGATGCTGTCCTTTAACTCTGTGATGCAATATCCCAGTCAGCCACAGTGTGTCATTGTTTAATCAGAAGAGGCCTAACATGAAGGGGAGAGTGGAGCAGCCAAACAAGGCAGTGAAGCCAGCACCAGCACCCAGTAGACCACATGCAGCAGGCAGGAGGCCCCAGAGAGCTGCAGCCATCTCTACCAAGAGCTACGTGGAGCCAGACACTGATGACAGCCTATCAGAGTCAGAGAGTCCTGCTGTTTCCAAGGCAAAATACTTCCCTTTATCTCAAGTTACTTTCTCTTTTTAAAAGTATGATAACTGTTTATCCTCTTTTAAAAGACAAATGACTTAGTTATTGTTCTAATTGTGTAAGCACATGGCGAAGAGACTAGGTTTGTCTTGATCCGACAAACTTATCCTGATCACTTTCTTACACACATGTATTGCTCAGTGAAAAGGTATCATAAATTGATCCGACATTGTGTCCCCGCCGATGATAATTGACTTTCGGATGAAGCTACTCTTCCTGCTGTTATTTATGTCCACGCTGTTAAAGTCCTTCAAAGTATCTTGGGGGGGGGTACCTGGGAATCCACATCCCAGCTACCCAAGCAACAACACTGCTGGGATTCACTGCATGTCATTGGGAGCAAATGTCTATGGTGCTATGGTGCTGTTGCCAATAGACTAAAATCATCCTGTCTTTGTCCGCATAATAACAGTACTCCTCCGCTAATCATTTGGAGAACGCTGAGAGAACTCACGAGGCTGCTCAAGTGACAAAGAAAAAGACTGCCAGCAAACAACGCATCAAAAGCTATATGATACCAGAGGGCAGCCATCACAGCAGCCACTCAGAGTCTATGTTTGGGCAGCCACCCACTTCCAAGGTAGAGGTCGTTGAGATTATAGCTCATGTTATTGTGATCAGGTGATTGTATTTTCTGCATGCCACAAAGCATCTGTTACTCTGTATATATCAGTGAACATATCCATATCACCACATGCTCACAATTTATTTTATGAGACTTTGGTATTGATATTTACAATGTTACATCATTTTAATGAGAAACAAATCTAGTTTGTGAGCATGTATAAGGTAGCATCTATCAAAATATAACAAACTCCCCAGGTGGATGCAGATGTTCTCCAAGCTTCAGTGTTATTAGAGCTTCAGCCACGGGCGCCTTTTCCCATCTACACATCAGTCTGCCGTTACTGAGCTCTGTAGAATATGTAACTCATTTTAACATCATGGCTGTATTGAAAACAAGTAATTCATTATTGGCCAACAGGGAAAGACTGAAAAGACCTGTTTAGAGGTTCCGGAGGTAAAGAGGAGAAAAAACATTCCCTCTGAGCAATCCACAGGTGCATACAGGAGATTGGACAGCAACAACCAGTCTGATCTGAAAAAGCCACGGGTGGGTCTAAAGGCCCTTCATTTGGGTCATTGCTTCTTACCTTTTCAAAAGTACCAGGTCGTGTGAATTGAGGACATTTGATAATACAAGGTTAATTTGAGAAGACTGACTTGAATGTTAGTTAAACTCAAAGAGAAATATATAGAAAATATAATACAAATCCTCATCATATTGGACTGAACTGATATACAGAATGTAGTTCTAAAATAATGCAGAGCAAAAGTGCTGGTCAATGCAAATTGTTCTGACATTTATTAATGGCTGTTAGAATATTCTAAACATCCCAAAAGTAAGCATGTATACATATCTAGATACAGATATCATTAACACCAAAAAGTGAAAAAAATATCAAGATGTTACTTTTTTGGTATTAAGCTGGGAAAGGGCCTTGGTCTTGAACGTAAACTTTTACATGATGGTCCCAGTATGTCCTCATGCTTGTTGATGACAGAAACACTTTGCTTTTCAGCAGCAGAGGCCTGAGAATGTTCTGTCAGAAACTTGGAAGTTAAATAAGAAAAATGTCGTCCCTGCCCAAGAACAAATGAGCGGATTGAAGGAATCCTGGACTGCCCGCCAGACCGTCTTCTGTCCGTCCCCTCCTTTGATCGAGACGATGAGATGTAAGACTGTGGAAAGCCAATCACCAACAATTACATAACACTCATTTCTTTTGACGTCACTTAATGTCTATTACATGTCTCATAGTGGTTCAAATGGTTTGAAAGGATTGTATAGCAGCATTATGTTTGGTTTTCACTTAGTGTAGTGACACCATATTTATTTAATAAGAGTAAATAAAAGCATCTTTAGAAATGATTCAGGCCTACGGGGTGCCTGACTTCATCTCAGTCAAGTCCTCATGTGGCTTTTATAATGGAGCCCCAAACTATCACTTTTATTTTGAAGGCGAGAATGAAAATTTTAATTTGTCAGATGGATACATATGCAAAATATTATTCTTCACCTAAAACCCAAATTGTTGCACCTATCGTATGTAAAGCATTTACTTTGTCTGTTAAGTTTCAGCCTTGAGATATTGTATTTAATGTAAAACATTGTGTATTTATCTACGTTTTTTCTTCTAGATGCATTTTCACTCCCTTTTATGCAGAGTTTTGAAACCGTTACATAAATGACCCCATTGCTCTCCAAACTTAACTGTAAATGGATATTTAGAAAAGCATGTATATCTTGACCTTCTACTCCCTGTCCAACTTCTGAGGGCAGCTGCCTGACCATCTGTGCTTATTTTGGACCCTCACAGCTGCTGAGAGGTCAGCCCCAACCTTGAGTTTGACCTGCTCCCCTCTCCTCACCCCGCGGGGATCCCCACTCCCTGCCTCCCCCGACCCACTCTGCGAGGACACCCCCTCACCTATCCTGCTGCTACCAAAACCTCGCTCTACGGTCAGCAGTAAAGGACACTTAAGGCCCTCCTCTTTCTACAGTGCAGAAAAGAAGCGCAGCTCATCAAAGGGTCGATCCAACCAGCCTGTACCCTCCCTCCCTTCACTGACCCCCATCGGTCAAACCCCTGCACCCGCTGCTCTCGCTGGACCTAGTGCAGCAGAGGTAAAACAGCACTTCTCTGACACCTTATGTAGGTGCCATTGCCATATATGGATTCTGTGTTAAAGGTTACTATCACATTTCTAATGCAGCATAATACCACATGCTGCCTTTTACCCCAAAGATATATACATCATCTGGGCAGTGTAGCCGAGAATATGTTGTAGTCGTCCGTGGTAGTCATTGTAGTAGGCAATCGCAGCTGGATGTGATTATTTTAATAAAGATAGTCGAATACAAACCTCAGAGTCTTCATCAGTTTTAATGACTGTTGTGGAGTTCACTGGTATTTTACATCTTCAAGCAATTCATACACCTTTACTCTACATGGCATGTGAGGTCACGCAACAATCACATGAGAATCACCAGAGTGACGTGAATGGAGGTGTGAATTATTATTATTATTATTATTATTATTATGTGACTGTAGGACTTCAGAAACGGTAACGAAGAACTTAAGGAAGCAGGTCTGTAAACTAAGCATTGCTGGCTGAAATCCCCAGGCCAGCCGAGAAAATGTGTGCAGAGAAAGTAAAGGAGGAACACTTCCCTCCATAAACATGTTTGAGATTTGAGATTCTCTCTGTAAGCAGTTTGGTTACATTGAATCTCAAACTGCCAAACCCTCCACTGCTAACAGTACGACATTGTAACCATGAGGCTGACATGTCCATTTGAGAGATTCAACTGTCCGAGATAAATATGCAACGTAATTAAGTAGTAAACGTTGGAATTGCACATGATGATCTGAATGATTAAGTGGAATGATTGAAATTACCTATTTCACTCAAGGCAGAGCAGATAATAGCGCTGCAGCACTTCATCTGTGCCTCTTCATGCATTCTTGACAATGTTCTTCTCATTTAACTGTGCTTAATCTATTACAGACGTGGTGATTAGTTAACCATTAAATGAGTGGCCAAGTTTATTTTGTTCATCACTTTCTGGCCCTCTCTCCATTCCTTTTATTTGTTTCCAGATAAATCCAAACGAGCAGTGTCTACCCTCAGCACCTCAGTCTCCTTTTTCTCTGTCCGCTCGGCCCCTGTTGACATCCACGCTTGTGGAACTGGACAAGCCGTCCATGCCCTCTCCTCCTCAGTCTCCGTTCCTTGAAGTCAGTGTGAACCATGGCAGCCATTACAGCTTCAGTAAAGTGTCTTCAGTATCTTGGGTTTCATCCACTCAGTCATCAGTACTCACTAGTGGAGTTAAGGACAGTCCCGCTGCTGCCCTTCCTGTGTCTCGTAAAAAAGAGGTAGGGCTTTAACACACTTTATGTTTTATGATTGATTGATTATAATTGGATGGATAAAGGACGGACAGATGAGAGCACTAGTAATGATACAGTGAGTTATTGTGTTTTTAAAAAGCTGTAACCAATTAAACAAACGACTAATGCATTACTGCCCATCCTGACAGAAAACTCCATCTTCAGACCGAGACCGAGAGTCTGAACAGCTTCATATCTCAGGTAAGAGGCCGTTTGTGTTCAACTTGGTCGTTGACGGGTGTACAATGGACTTTCCACTTGCTATACATTCTGTCCTCAAAGCTAGGTCCCTTTTACATTAGTGTAATCTAATGAAATAGTCATTGTGTTTAGGAATTCTCTCAAATGGGGCTCCACGGTCCAATCACTGATCTGCTTTAGAGGAACACCCCTGTGTTAAACGGACGCATCTGAGTAATGTATTATAACTGTTGGTTCTTGTTACAGGACCCAGTCGCAAGCGCCATGTCTCCTCGTCCAGTCATTCTGAGGAAGATGAAAAGGAGAAGAGGAAGAAAAACAAGATGAGAGGACAGCGCTCTCCTCGGATGAAACCGAGGAAGTTATTCAAGTCCTGTAAGACATACGTATTACTCAGCAGTTAACTGTTAATCAGCAGTTACGTAAATTAGCTGTCGATTCAGTTTGGAATAACTTTTCCAAATGTCCGGGTAGAATAATAGCTATCAAGAAATCAGTCCCTGTCTTGCAGAGGAATACACATGTGAAACTGTGTTATTTATATAACATATTTTTAACATATCAGTCTGTGCCATCATTTCATAAATCAACAATACTGTTTTTGTTGATTTGATTTATTTTTGTGATACTCTGTAATTATGTTACGCTTGAGCCCATGAGGAATCTTAGTGATAAGTTACTTATCAGCTCATCATTTACATTCTATATGCTACGCAATTAGCACAATAGAGAGTGTTTTGCCTCTAATATTGGCAGTGACTCCTACGTGATATGATACACATATAGCATCTCCTCATTGTTTCAGCAACCGGACCTCCTGGTCAAGCCCAGAACTGGGGAGAGCAAAGTAGTTTAGATGAAGAGGAAGAGGAAAGCAGGCCAAAGGATATAACTTTCAAAGTTAAGGAAAGAATAAGAGAAGAATATCAGAATATCAAGAATAAGACAACTATTGGCACAGGTACCCGTTTCCCCTGTTCTCCCCGACTACACATCACATTCAGTGTTCGGTGATTTGTCAAGGAACAGATGTGATCAGAATCCTATTGTTGGACTGTTGTCTGGCATTCACAATTAGAAATGCCAAAAAAGCACAAAGGATAAGTTGTCTTAGAATAAATGTTATAGTTGCTCGTGGGATAGATTCTTTATATATTTAATTATATACCAACTGCAAAATATTTCTTATTTAGAATTGCCCAAACAATAAATGCAATCTTTTTTTAGTTTGGGGGGAAAACAAACACTATTTACAAACTGTATAACTTAAATAATACATTTCTTTGAGGCGTTGTCTTCTCTAACAGATCAGTGGGTCTTTCTGTCATCCTCAGTCGCTGAGGTGTCTGCTGATGGTGAGATGAGCCAGGTGATGTCTTCCTCCCACACCATGAGCTCCAGTCACTGGGAAGCTGAAGTGGGGGATGGAGACATGGACATGGATGAGGATTTCCAGTTGCCAGAAATTGCTGTAAACCCGAGTAACCTGTGCAAGAAATTCAGCTCTGAGCTGCAGAAGAAGTTCCAGGTAGGACACGCATATACAATGAGACACATTTAAATAGCAAAGAGAAGAGCCGTAGTAGTTGCATTACTGACATTCTTCATTATGTAGTTCCCCTTTTTCTGACGGAAATTCAAAAGGCTGATTTTTCTTGAGCACTTTGTATCTCTTGTCACTTCTAGTTTGATAACCCTGAGCCACTTAAATGTTGTTTAAATAATGGCTTAGCTGAACCATTATCTATTAAATGTATTTGTATTCAGAGCCGTTATAATATGGTGGAGGTTTACAACAAGCAGTCCTTGAAGACCGTCCAACAACACGTCTCCTCCCTCAACACGCAAGTTGCCAAATACAGGTCAGTTAGTGTTGTAAAGCTAACATGTCCATCCACTGGTCATATTGGCTAATACATCACAAAATGTATATGCACATTTTCCTTAACTGACCAATAGGGACAGCATTTTCTTAAATTGGTCAGTGTTGAGCGAGTGCGCTGTAGATGGCAGCCACTAGCGGACTTGCAAGGGGCCAGCTGGCACCGTTATATACGTCCATTAAAAGTGCTTGTTCATGCCACTGAAAGGCTCTGATTGTTATTAAATGTGTCCGACAACATTACGGAAAGAGTCTCGCTCAAAGAGAAACCACTTTCTGAAATCTCACGAGGGGTTGTGCTGCCGGAAGACAACGGTGGAAACGCGAGTGTCGGCCAGACAGGGTTCATTGTGTTTGAGTAAAGAAAGCGTAGCTTGGTGTTGTCTAAAAGACTTTTAATGTCATGGCTGAATATTTGCATCACTTCAAAAATGATGGTTGGTTGCCCACCAATGTGGTCCTTAGAGAAAACTACTAAACAGTCAGCAGGTATACCAAGTATTCATTTACCAAAGCGGTTCTAAGTGTACTTTGTTGGTACGTAAGTACTTCTTTGTTTTACAGGCTCCAAATCTACAGTGTTGTGACTCCCTGCAATCTGAAGACACATTGTATTTTCTTTTGTCTGCCTTGTATTTTCGATTTCCACTTCACTTATTAATTCCTCCTCTGTACAGGACTCAGAGGCTTGAACAGGTTCAGAACGTCCTCTTGGAAGAGATCCACAAACTGGAGCAGGATGACACTGTGCTCAAAAGCATGGAGAAAGACCTGACTGTATGTCCCTCAGTCTAACTCACTTACACACACACTCACACACTCACACACTCACTCACTCACTATCAACCAAAATATCCAAGTGTTTCACATTAATTACCTAGAGTGTGGTGGCCACAGTTTCTGAATGAACCAAAAGTATTTTTACCCTCACCAGACACATTTCCTCCTCAGTCGTGTGCAGCAACCGGCTGTAGTTTGGCTTGGAAAGTAAAAGCGACTCGTGGCTTTGGCCATGTCAGCTTTACAGCATCCCTCACCGGGACTTCACCGCTTCCTGAGGCCATGAACTCAGTACTCGCTGCACCTCTGTCCTTACCGGGAGTGACGAAGCACCCTGTTTACTGGGGTGACTCTTGAACATGGCGGACTCTCCGCAGTGCACGATCTGTGCCAATGTCAGCAGCCCATCAGGCCCTCCTTGAATCACAGACCCGTCCCGTTTGCCATGCCTCATGCCAATCATAACTATACAGCCAATGTGTTTTTTAATTAAATTGACTGGAGCGCAGTGTAAAAATACTTTCACAAGTAAAAGTCCTACTTTCACAAGTAAAAGTCCTGCGTTCAAAATGTCACTTAAGTAAAAGAACAACGGTATTTCCATCGAAATATATTTAAAGTAGCAAAAGAAAAGGTATATTCATTATGCAGTATGAGCATACAATGTAACTTCAAATAATATATTTACGGTAGGCCTTTATCATTGGATTATAATCAAGGATGCATTAATATTGTAATTGCACTTAAGGTCATTACTTGAGTAGCCTAAATGTACTTAGTCCAGCCTCCTAATTTTGTTCTCAAAGTGCATCAGATTGATGCATTTAACTTTAAAATGCACGCCCCTGTATCTTCCCCCCCCCCACCCGAGTCTCAAAATACCTCATGAAACACTGTCCACATACGGTATTCTGTGAAATGAAGATGCCACTAAATATGCCTTTTTGGTGTTAATTTGACCAGTTGTTGTTTGGTCTCTGTTCTCTCACAGATGAACTGGAAAAAGCAGGCTGTGGCTTTCCATTCCTACCAGCAGCGGGGAACCATGAGGTGAAATTTACGCCTCTGTGTGTGTGTGTGTGTGTGTGTGTGTGTGTGTGTGTGTGTGTGTGTGTGTGTGTGTGTGTGTGTGTGTGTGTGTGAGAGCATGAAAGAGCCATATTGTTATTTTGATGCGGTGATTCCTGTCACACTCTGATCAATGCTCTTCCCACAGGCTTGAACACAAATACTCTGTAAAAGGTTGAATAACTCCTGATTATTCGGTGGAACGTGAATTGAAAAGCCTGGACAATAAGTTCTTCCTCAAGCTTATCATCAGACACTAGATATGCACCCTAAGATATTTTTGTGACCACTGTTTCTTCTTATGACTAATGACGGAGATATACTTTATTTTTAGTTATGCATGTCATGTTTTATTTCTGACTATGTATACAACCAACACTCCAAACGGAGGCAGCATACACGAGGCAGTGTCGTGTGTATGCAAAAAACGCATATATCTCCAGCATAAGCAACGCTCACTGATATTTATCTAGCTTTTCCCAACCATTCTCCAGCCAGGCACTGCTGCCCTGACTGCAAAGGGCCATTTGTTATTTGTTTTAAAACAGATTCATCAACATGCATCCTCTCTCCATGCTTTAACTAGAAAGGTGCACTCAGTACAGTGTTGATCACTGCTGTATTGTATGATTGAATAAATACAACCCACAACCGAGTAACCCCCCCGTCAAGACACCAATGGCCTGTAAGGTGTCGTAAAACACACTTCATACAAACTCCAAAACAAGCGGTAAAAAATGCAGGCAATTGGCTCGAAGTCGTTGTACAACACGAGTCACGCAGTTTTGCCAAAAACAAAATTAAACTGCAGCTGAGTTGCGGAGAGGTACAACAGTGTGTGTACTGGTAGTTCCGTGAGCGGTTAGCCAAACACCATACAAAATAATAAAAGTAGGCCGAACTAACAACCAGTGATGTACCCAACCAGTGGGCTGTGAAGTGTAAAACACACTTCAATCAAACTCAAAAAACGACGATGTAACCTAATGCAAGCAATCAGCTTGAAGTCGTATATATTACACTTCATACAATCTTGCCAAAAACAAAACCACGAGAGGTCCTTGAGCATGCAGCCATAACTGGGAAATCAGAATATTATGCAGTTTGCTGCAGCACAATGCGAGATTAGCCGTGGACAGACACAAAGGTGCACACACACAGAGGGACGCACACGCGACCGATCTCATGAACTTCCTGTCGAAGAGTTAACCCCATGATCCAATCAGTGTCTTGTCATACATGTTAGTCTGGTCAGAAAATGTCAACATTATTTCTTAACTTCACAAGTTATTCTTTTTACAATTGTTCTTTCTTAATTAATGTCTCAATTGGTGCTAAAAAAAACACTTAAAGAAGTGATGTGTGAGGTGGGTTAGCTGCTTTATTTTGGCAACTCGCACACATAAATAGCCGTAAATGTAGATTCCTTGACTTAATCATAGGCTCTCTGCTTTACCAGACGTTGTTTCCTCACCAAGTGCAGTTTTTAGAAAATAGTGCATTTAATGTTTATCAGTGTTTCCCATTGAACCGCATTATATTGACATTTTTATTTTACCTTGAGCTTTTGTGTTTTCCCACCTCCCTCATTTGGTTGTGTGACTGTCCGTCGCCTTCCTTCCAGACATGAGGCCTTGAAGAACGCCCTGCAGAGTAACGTGTGTCACAGTGTGGAGTACGAGGAGAGGATATTCACTTCCCAGGTGTGCCCCTCAGACTGAAACTAATCTAATATGTGCTTCATTGTGTTGCCCGAGTGTTAGCTTCTAATTTGCTGGGTAAACCCGAAGCTCAGGTGGCTTTGAACTTTGAAATTTTTATTCCTAGCTCATCAATTTTTTTTCCGTTACCTCTGCCTGTCAGCTTTCCCTGAGTTGCATTAATAACATTTTGCTTATCTCATTGTCCCGTGTTTCAACTCGTCCCATTTGTCCCGACTGTGTCATATTCTATGTTACCACCCCTAAAACCCTGCTGATCTGCCTGCTGTCCTCAGATGTGCATGATACGAAATGACATGAAGTCAGTTCAGGACAGACTCCTCAGCGAGATGGTGAGTAGACACGACACAGGTGACCCTTCAGCATAGATTACACCAGAACAATTAGACTGGCTTTCATTGTGTGTCCTTCACTCATTTCGGAAGCCTGTACAGAACATGCAGTCTTGAGAGAATTTATGACTCAGATGATTTTAATGATGAATTATTTGTGCTTGTGTGCTTTCTGTAGCAAGAGGGCGAGCTCCAGGGTGTGAAGAGAGGCCTGCATGCTTTGTTTTTCCCCTGATGGAGCCAACAAAGTCCTACACTATAAACAAGGTTGTGTATTTCACCACATGATGTACACTGCACTGTGTACTTCCGCTGTGCTGGTTTCATTTTAAAGTGTTTGCCTTTAGTACCGATTGTTCCAGGTTCTGCTTTAATTGTACGTGGATGTGTTGGTTTATTCTGAAGTGGCTGTGTTGTTGCTCTATGTTTGTTTTTATTACAAATGTCATGTTATTCTGATATTTATTATTTGATGAAGTTTATGAATTCAATCATTTTTAGTGTTCTTTCAAAGTAAGTAAGTTCGGCTCTGTGACATTTTCAATACAAATTCCTGATTTATTCATGTAGATTAGTAAAGTACTGAAAAGTGCCAATTCATTAAAACAATGAAATTGTTAAATCTATCAGTTGTTTTTAAATGGGTCTTCAACCTGATTCTTCATTGAAAATAAAACTGTTTACAAAAGAGATAAGCCATTCTTAAAAAAGACCTTGTATTTTGAAGACAAGTAGTGCTTACAAAGGTATTTCTCTTTTCAGCGAAGACATTGACGTCCCATTCAGATTGACATACTGTATGTACAGTTGATATCAAAATTCATTCCCGATACCACCTCCCAGAGACTGCACAGTCTCTACACAGTCCAAGTGACACATTATTCATCAGTTAAGAAAAGGTGAAGCTGGTCACATGCTCAACTTCTTCCAACGACACCGCCTTGTCAAAGGAGTCCATGAAATAGTACAAAAAAAACAACACTGACTGAATGACATAATTGGGGTTTTTTTTTTCTCCCTCCGCTCTCATCCTGAGAGTCAGAGCCACTAGAGTCCTCTTTCACCAGCCAGCTTCCATGTGGCGACATTCAGTAGTCTCCAGGACACACTGCCGCAAACATTTCCATCCGCTCCTCTCTCACACCCGTGCCCTCATACGGGTGATATGATAGTCAAGGGTGCTGGAAGAATCCTAAAGACACGCTGAAGACAAATAGGCCCCCAGGTTCTCTGAACTGTCTGCCGCTGCTCAGCTTCAGAAAAAGTCAAAGCTCAGCATTTCTTCACAGAAGAAACGCCCCACTTTCATGGCCGGTGGAACCTGGAGAGACAAACATGCAGAGAAACCACTTGTAAGGGGAAAAGTACAAAACGTGACAGCAGAGGGTGCCTTCGTCATCGCACACGGCAATTATTGCAGCTATAATCAGTTTTGTGGGGCTATTTTTAGCACAGTCATTATGTGCTGCGGTACCCATACTATCATCCAGTCCTCCCACTCGGTCACTGTCACAACTCACAAGGAACCCCTGCTTTCCAAACAAGCTTAGCCAAGGACACCGTGGCATTTTATCATTGTTCTCTGCTTGGCAGTACGAGCTCTCCAGAGGACAACCTCCCCTAAGCCCCGTTTACAAGCACTCCCATCCATCTTTAGCCCCTTCTGTGCTCTCTGGATGAGCAAGGAGAGCTATATTTAGACCGTCGCAGCCCAGAATAGAACATGCATACATTACCGAGCACACACTACATGCTGCGACACACATACTGACCTCGTAAGGTGTTTGCTTGAGGCGTGCACTTCCATCTCGGTGCTTTTGAACTCGTTGAGCTCTTTTCGGATTGCAGCCTGTGGGGAAGAGAAAAAACAACAACATTAGCGCATCCCTGAGTACATCCTGAGCCATTGGGGTGCTTTAACCTTTGGACGACAAAGTGACAGCAGAGGAAATATATTGAGCCTAAAGAGAACAGGGGGTTTTGTGAGATAAGCTGATAACAGCAACAAGCCATGCAAATAGTCTTGATGAGCTTAAAGATCAAAGAATTTGGGGACTTTTTCCATCAGTTTGTCCTGAGTGCTGAACTTGCTTTGGTCATAAGTCCATGTGATCAGCGGCAGGTCATAAGGATTGACATAAAATGCTGCTTTGTCTTTACTGTCAAATACGACTCGTCTCTCTGTGTTCCACCCAAACACACACCTTGTCTGCTGCCGAGAGCCGGGTCCAGGGCTTGTCTGCTCTCCTGTCATAGTCCTGAGCTTTGGCCACCTCCACATAGTCACTGAAGCGGATCAGAATCTTTCTGTCTCGTAGTTCGTCTACCGTGGGCCGCTGGTTGAGCTGGAAGGCAAGAGATGGGGCAAACATTCATAGTTGACTGCTATCAAAGTCTCCCATGTGCTTCATTGAAAACAAGTGTTTATTTGGTTGATATTGTTTTGGTGTTAGTTATCAGAAACAAATGTATTTTAAATAAATGGAAAATACATAATCACACAATGTTGTACCTTTCTGTTTAGCCGCTGTTTGATCTCCCTCCTCTCCTCTTGCTCTGTCTGGTCGTTTCTCTCTGGATAAAGAAGAAAAAAAAACTAATTAGAAATTCATACTCGGCAAATGAGCATTAAAAAAATATATATAAATATTTATATTATATATACAATCAGTTCCTACCAACAAGGTTCACTCATACTACACTGTGCAATCTCTCTTATCAGTAATGCCTCATCTTGCCCTGGTTTAAGTGTTTTCGATCAGGGGTTATTCCACATATTTATTATAAATAGTAAACACCTGTATTTGTGTGAAGAGAAGGTAGTTTGGAGACAGCAATGGAAGTGTTTAAACTTACGTTTCAGTATGTTCCGACTCTCCAGCTCCTCCACATTGGGTCTCTGGCTCAGCCTCCTGCGGAGAAACACCAAAACCACGTTTTGAACCATTTCGACCCGAGCCGTCCCTGTCCTATCCTCCTTTAAACCGGCTGCAGTTTCTTCACTGTGCGCGTTCTCGAGAGGAATCCCCTATGTCTCCATCTCGCATCCAAACCGCGGCTGTGATGCTTGGGCAGAGGCGCTCCCCACATCTGGAATAGTCGAAGAAGCGCAATTCTCTTGTTTGAGAATATTCCACCGAATTACTCTCCGATGTCAAGGTGCTGCATCTCAGGTGCGGGCTGCCGTATTGCGTTGACTCTCCACCGCCGCAGCAGCAGCGTCGGTGCTCCTCTGTACTCTCCGACAACAGCAATACGAGCGCTTTTGAAATGTGTCGTGATGCCTGGGCGCGACTACCCTAGTTTCCCCGGTTACTGCATGCATAATTTCTCGGAGGCGGAGCCTAACAGGCTCCCACTCACGGCATCCCCAACCTCTTTGTGGTGTACACCGGGCAACTAGCACAGTCATTTGACTCGCGTTGCACGAGTTAATCGTATTTTTAGTCACGTAAAAGACGGATTTTTTTTTTATTTTTTTAAAGGAAGTAAAATAAACCCAAAACAAAATACTTGATCGATTATAATTACTGTTGCCTATTTTGTGTTGTGATACAATTCAAATGTCTCCTTTGCTCTCACGTTCAGATCACACCTACAGTAGTACATTCATTTCATGCTGTCACGTTCCCTCGCCATCAAAGCATCCAAAAGGTCTCCAAAATCCAACGAGTCCCCTGTTTGTGTGTGAACTATTCATGCTCTGCATAAATAATAAATGTACGCTGCACAACAGGGCTCAGCCCCAGACGGCATGTGGCACACCCCACACCTCTAGAGGTGGAAAGGACGGGGAGGGCAGAATGCCGCCACGCAGCGGGACTCTCTTTATACCCTCACCCAAGATAACACTGGGCACTTTATAGTTCTGTCCTGTCAAAGATCAAAGTTAGGTCACACCGACTGAGACCTGGACACCCACAAAGTGAACGGCCAAACACGTGTGTGTGCCGTGTGCACGGAATAGCTATGAAAATCATTCTAGTCATATAAACTCTTAATACTATTTAAGTGGGACTTAAAACCAGAGAGCAGATGCTACCATCAAAACAGAAAAAAGGCATCTGGACTAAACCGCATTATGCGATTAGATTTGTTTTCTACATCACAGCATTGGCAGAGGAAATAAAAGCTGACTGCACAGACACAAAATCACACTTGTAGATATCTATACATACAGTAACGAGTGCAACAAAGCAATCTGGTTGGTGTTAATTAACGTGCGACGAGACATCCCGTAATAGCAACAGGAACAATGCAATAGTTAAGAGTAAACCGTAGTTGTTTCCTGTGAAGATGGAAGTTTATTTTGAAAAGACAGTATGCATGTAACAAGCGAAAACAGACTCATGTTGCTTGACTTTTGCAGGAAAAACGCACGAAAAGTGAGGAGTAATATTTCGTAAGATATCAATAAAACGGGGATGAATTTATATCATTGTATAAAGAGAGTGACATGAGAAGATCAATCTCATGTCTGTAAGTTAAATCAGCTATAATCACTATTTTAAAGTGATTAGTGACTCGTCTAAAACATTTAAAAAAGGAATAACTTCAATAGAATCATTCTATACAATGTAGCTTCTTTACATTCTATTAGAATGTAAAGAAGTTACAGTGTTGCCTTTTCTTTTCTTTTCTTCCCACAATAACGTAATTTTATCAGGTTGATAAAAAAAATGTCACTTTACTTCCTGACATTATAGCTACTTTACCGCAGGGGTGTCCAAACTTTTTTCAAAGAGGGCCAGATTTGATAATGTGAAAATGCCCAAGGGTCAACAGTCCCTGCTGACATTATTTTAAACAATACAAGTAGCCTATACATACATTGTTAGAAGGTGCGGGCCATATAAAATCTGACCTCGGGCCGTGATTGGCCCGTGGGCTGGACTTTTTTTTGGAGCTTGATCCATTTCTTCCCATTTGCTTTCAAATCCTCTGTTTAGGTTCCCCCTTTTTATCCAAGTGCTTTTTGATCAAATCAGTTTTACAATACAATCCTAAAATCTTATACGGTGGGGAGCAGTCCAACACAATGGCTCTTTTGTGAATCTTTTATAAACAAACAGAGAGACAAAGTCTTCCCGAGCACTTAACAGTATTACATGTCAAGCAGATGAAACAGAAAATCACTTCCAAAGCCCCGGCGAATACGACCCTCCACTGTATTATTGACCTGGTCGCCGAGTTGCTTAGCAACAACACTTGGTATCCTTGAGACAATAGAATCTTCCTGCAGAAATCCTCACTTCTCCCGAGCAACACACTAATGGGGATTTCACTACTGCACACGGAGTCTGTGGCTATTTTTAGCAGCAGAACATTTTCCTCGCTGGTGGGCTGAATAAATCAGGGATCGCTGTCAATACGGAACACTATTTCGGTAACAAACTCGGATGAATCGCAAAACCGTATTGCTCTTCTGCTCTCGGGAGACAGAAGATGGTTTATTTGGAAGATTATCACTACAGCGGTTTGACTTTGCGCCGGTGTCTCGCCCTCCGCTTTCTCCAGCGGCACTGAGGATACGATGTCATAAGTATGATTTTGAAAGGTATCCCCAGAATACCACGATGACGCATAAACGCCTGTCGGCATGAGGGTTTCCATTTCCCACTCAGGATGGTCTGCAACAAAACGAGTTGGAATAGAAAGTCCAAACATGTCAGCCAAGGGAGGAATACAAAATCTAAACAAAGGAATAAAAAAGCAACGAGTGGGTGGCAGAGGCTTTCAGTCTGTTCTTTTATTTCAGCTGCCAACTGTGCAAGGAGATACAATTGGCCGTTCCCAGCTTTCTTCCTTTTAGTACAGTAGCCAATCCCCACCTGCTCCTGCGCTCTATTATTTCTGCAGATATAACTCCCCATCAACACGTTTGTGGAGAGAAGGGAGTGCATGGGGAGATGCATTATTGAACAGTGTCAGGAGCTAAGAATAGAAACAGCAGAGTGCGGCTGCAGCACAAGTGCCAGGCGGGGAGTCTCTAAAGATAGAAAGGTCATCTATCACTGACACAATGGACAGACAAGGTGTCATTATCCACTGTTACCTCCTGACGGCATTTTCTGCTTGATTGGCAGCAAATGTAACGGTAGGTTTACATTGTGGACTGCAGATAGGATGGGGAAAACAACAGATTGAATCTGGGTGGGAGTCACCCAGAGAAATCCAGAGTATAGTGTGTCATGGATTGTTTTGTCATTTAGTATGAATGCCCAGGGGAAATTAGCTTTTCTTTCCTCCTCTTCAGCATTTTGAGCTATATTTAGCCAGGATTTCCTTCCAAAATGGTGCATTGTGCTTACAATGTATGCATGTACTGTACTGCAATGGAAATGCCTTTTCTTGCTCATGCTCGGCACTGTAGGTGAAGGAATCATGTTTACATACGTTATTTAGAGCCTCTGGGTTTCCACATAATATCTCCAGACAAAGAAGCAAACTTGAACAGCTGCCAGAAGCCTTTTGCACGTACGTATATACATGTTTTCTTTCAGCAATGTCAGCATGAAGCACACAAATCTGCTTTGAGAATCCATGTTAATCCTCCTGGGATCATTCATTTAATTTAGTCGGTATTATTTTTATTTTAACAGCTATAAATTACAACTCTGGGTTTAAGATCAATTGAATCTGACGCTTTATGTCACAAGCAGCTTCTCTCAGCTTCTGTGCGACAAGTAGAAACCTCCCTGTCTTCAAAACACAGACCCGGCTGGCTCTTATGCGAGCTACAGTCGTGCTCCGTCCTCACCTTTGACATGAGCCGTTTGCTTATGAAACGCCTATACATGTTCTTCCAGTGAATCTAAGAAAAGTTCAGGGAGGCAGTATTCTTAGTCGTCTCACAGACGGTCGGTAGATCTTGGATCTCTACAAAGTGTGGGTGGCACTCTGTGCCTGGCTGCGAATTATTGCACAGCAGGTTATGTAACGTGGTGGTGTGCCTCTGTTTGATATGTGCTGGTGCTAAAGAACTTGGGTCTTTTGACACATTCACACACAACGCTGCTGCTGTCAGTCTTTGCACATTTGGCTTTTCAGTTGTATTATAGAAGCCAGTGGTTCTATTAATGTCCTGGCAGTGGAGCACACATACAAAGATCAGCGGTGCGTCTTGCTAGGGGTGATTTCCTGGAAGCAGCATCTGTCTGTTCTCGTTGCGCCTCAGAAACACCTGATGTTACTTTTTGTTTTCGCGAAAGGAGTTCTTTAAATAGACCTACCATTTCCCCACATTGGGAATCCTCTCAGTTTAGTGCTTTAGTGCTATTCTGCAATACAATGCGAGGACTGAGTAAATACACTCAAACAGTCTCCTCTAAACAGGAGCAGATTACACAACATCAATCAAAACAATCGGATAATCCTTTCAGATGACATTTTTTATCTCACCTCATCCTCCTACTGTTGGGTGTGTTATGTAACTGAAGCAATGAAGCCTGCAGGTTTATCCTGCACAAAGCATCGCCCAGATCTGTCATGGGTTTGCATTGTTGCACCATGAATAACATGGAACTAACTGCAGAGTAGTATTAAGGGATATTCAAGCTTCTGTTACTGATATCATTAAAACGCTTCATATTTACAACACTAATACTGTACTCGGATAGCAATGGAGGGAAGATTTCATTTCTTACTTGGCAAGTTTCATCTCAATCTGCTGGCGAATTTCCTGGCGCTCCTGGTCACTCCTGACTGGGAAGATATTTCTGTCTTCCAACTCCTGCTTGCTGGGCCTGTTTCGTAGTTTGACAGTCAGCAACTCCTTCCTTAGCCTGCGAGGAAGTGTACCTGCAACCATGCATACACGCATTAACACACAGGAAACAGGAAACTCTAACTGATCGTTTTTGTAGCCTCTTTGGGAGAATCGCAGTGTTTATATACAATTACGCATCTTAACAATTTGGAAAATCATTCTGTAAATGAATTAAGCCTAAAAATGACCACGACTACTTAATCTCAGCAAATATCCAAGTGATTGTTATTCATGGGTTTTCTGTTGTTTTTGCTCTGTACTGCACCAAATTGGATTTGAAATGAATGACTCGTAGTCCCTTTAATATGTAGCTGCCATGGCTAGATTACCAACTGCCCTAGCCAAGTTGCAAGCACAGTATCAGCTGAAATAATAAGGACCGTGGGGCATTATGGGGGATCCTCTTTTGTAGAGATACCAAAATAAAATAAAAAGTATCATTTTAAACCAATGTTATTCAATTAAAGTGTATTAATGTGTTGAAAATCTGCATTATTGATTCTGTTAGCCACTTTATAAAGTTGTTATGGTGGAATCGTAAGCCTCAGTTGCCTATTTACACCCACAGCAGCCACAGAGCAACATTAGCATTTAGTTGGAGGTGTGTATCGGGCTATACCTGTGGTAGCGCAGCTCATTTATCAGAGCTTTTGTGGTGAAATCTCCTGGCGGCTGTGGTTAGAAGTGACACAGATGGTAGCGGTGAGAAATTAACCAAAACAATACAGTTGCGGAACAATAAGCTGAAAGACGCTAAAATGTTCTGGACGGATGAGGGGAACTGCTGGGTCAGGTGATAATTCTGTGTGGGTTTTTCACCACGAGCGACCCCTTTCATATTACACATAGCGTAGTATTGCACCCATTGTTGACGTATAAACAATAATTAGTGCAGCTTTAAATTGTGCAAATGTTTGTTTTAATTGAATTCCACAAAAGGATTTACGCAACAGCAAGCCGGGGGCCAGGCAGAATCCAGGTATGAGTACTGGTTGGTCTCACGACAAGACAGCAAGTCAATGACAGGGCTATGTTTCCATCACTGCCCTCCCAGATCTGTGATCACAATCAAATTTGAGTGCGAGTCAACACTTTAACCACATAGTCATTGTTTCATTTTAAATCCAATATGTACGGTACTGAGCCAAAACAAAAGCGTGAACCTGAAAATGCTTAGAGACTGCATTGTAAATCATACTTCTAAGCTCTTCAACCCACCAGAGATGACGGAGTCATTCCATTCTTCTAAGTCGTTGGGGAGGCCTGAGGTGTTGGAGAAGCACTGGTCCAGCCGCATGTTCTCCTTATTCTCCTCCGCCTCCTTCTTGGGCCAGTCGGACCTTCCACCTCCCACACAGCCGCCCCCAAAAGACGATTTGTGTTGGTTCTCAGAGCTGCAGGAGCGAGAGAGACGTCCATCTGAACACCACAGCCTTTGGGGTGAGGCCTGCTCACACCCTTCGCGGGAACTGAGGGGACAAGGGACGAGGGAAAACATAGGATTAGTGTTGATGGCTGTGGGAGGACAACATCTGATGATATCGATTTTAAATATAGAGTATGTTAAAGGTGTCATTCAGGGGAAAATCTTAATGATCGGTTGTATTGTACTGCTCCCTATATACAGGGATGGGTCAAATGCAGAAGGCAAATTTCGTGTATGTGTATATGTATATGACAATAAAAATGGTTTCTTCTTTCTTTTGTATTGTCAGAAATTTGAGATTTGTGAGAAAACTTCATGAAAACACAAGTAAGACTGAATAAAGCAGCATAGTTGTTTTTCACCCACTCAGTAATTCCAAGTGAGGGCGCTGATATAAACAGATGTACGGGGTACACCCGAGCACTCACCTCTCGTGTCTGTTCTTGGAAGCGAAGGCTCTCTGCAGTTCCTCCATAATGCAGCTAGGGGGCATGGGAGGATGCATCATATTGCCTATATGTGGGGACCCTGAGGTGTTGGTTAGGTGCCCTCGTAGCGGCAGGGTCATTGAAAGCATGCTTTCTGTGGCCCTGGGCGGAGGCTCCTTGGGGAGGTAGGAGTTGGGCAGGTGAGCAGGGAGCGACACAGGGCCTGAATCTGAAAGGGAGCAGATAAACACTGGAGGTAACAGAATTTCTCATTTCCCCCCCCCCCCATTATCTGACCCTTATATTTGTCTGCAGGCACATGGGGGCTAGAGTTTATCTTATTGATACTTAGCTGAAGTTTGGGAAACACATTTACATCTGTATTTATGGGAATCTAGACTCCCCAGTACATTTGACATGCACATCTGTTTAATTTGAGAGGGGAATTGACCATCTGGAGGAAAAATATGAACAGGACAGGGAAGCAAACTCCACAAGTTTTCCTGCAAAGAAATTAAAGAGCAAACTACTTTGCCAACGTGCCATCTGCAGCATATCTACAGCATGTGTGTTATACTTGTAAGTTGTTAGGCAATGCTGTGGCTTAGATGGTTCTAGTGCCTGTCCAGCAAACAGGACATCCTGGGTTCAAATCCCAGCAGGTAAGTGTTGCCACTACAAACATGAAGGAACTTACTGTACTTTTTACTCCACAAAATTAGTTTAACAGCTGTAATTACTACTTTTCAGATTAAGATATGACATTAAAACACAACACATTGTTAAAGATTAAACTGTTAGTTCTGAACCTTTTTGACTTGTGATCTCTTAGTGTCAGTGTCTAGTTAAGTCTCCTTGTCATATTTCAGTTGTTAGCAGTTCCACCAAAGAGTGAATTCTCCTCCAAACTACTCTGAGGGTTTCATTTTAACAACCGTTTGAGGCCCAAAGAGGTACGATTATCAGATAATAATATCCTAAACCTCACAGCACTCACCATCTCCAGTACTCAGCAGCGGAAAAAGTTTGGGAGGTACTTGTGGTGGGGACGTTCCTGGAGGAATCTCTTCCTCTGGTCTTTCTTCTATCTGCTCGCCCATATCCTTCAGCCCCTCAGGTAAATCCCCGACAGGCTGCACCTCCTCACTTCCCTCCTCCTCCGGTGTTAGTACATTCTCCTCCACCCGTTCACAGTCCTGAAGAGGGGCAGCTACTGGAGTATGAAATGAGAGCATTTAAAATTGAGGTAAAATGTATTTTGCCGTAATACTTCTGCCAAGCTGCATGGTTTTTACATTTTCTACATTGTCCAACTATACTGAGATGTACTGTGTTGTACAGGTTTTGTGCATACAAATATACATATTGTAGACCTCTTATGGCAGATGAGGGTGAAGGCAAATAAGGTCATTGAATTGTCTTTGCTGCCCTCTAAAGGTACACACACAAATGTCTCAGTTTCATCAAGCATGAGCTTTGTGGATTACATAAAAAATGAAAAGCATACACAATTTATTCAGACCTTAACTTCATGATACAAACACAAAGCTAATAATTATATTATATTACAGCATCAACAACTTTTGTAAAACAGCCGTAGTTCAGATTTGTTTCACAGCGATCTCATTCTGTCATATTGATTTACCGTAAAACTGAAGGAAAAGACACCCAGACAATTTTTGCTTTTTGCAGCTCTATAATGTCAATATGATTAGTTGAGTCTGAGTACAGTGAGGGATTGTACTACCTGGAGGGGGAAGCTCCTCCTCAGGACCAAGGTATTCCACACTGCTGACTGTGAGGTTTGAGTTCAAGGGTCCCCCGAATCCTCCAAGCAGGACTGCACCGTCTGAGCAGCAGCCCTGGGTGGGGGAGCTCGGGTCGTGGCATAGAAGATTGCTGGATAATGCTACATCTGAGGACAAGCGGGGAGAAGTATGTCATGATATTTGTGTTGAAGATAAACAAAACTATGTGACATTCATCTGAATTATTTCCAGTAATAAAAAGTAATTTCTAGTATTGATGATGTACCTGCTATTGCTTAATCTTCTCTATTTCTGTTTGTTCAGACGGCTGATCTGTGCATTTACAATGAAACAGCATTTTGAGACCATCTTACTTCCTTGACGTTAGTGTTAACGCTTAAATTACTAATGTCATTAGGTACATATTAGTATATGTAATATATGTGTGTATATATATATCGATCTGTCTGTATGTCTATTTTCGGTTGGTTTAGGGACTTATTTTCACCTTGTGCACTATGAGATAAAAGTGAAAATACACTTTTCTATGAATAGATATGTAATGTTATATATATATATATATATATATATATATATATATATATATATATATATATATATAGTATTAATGGATATAATTTGATTAGCCTATGAAAAGACAGATCCAGCCACTGGGGGGACGAACTGAGATCCACTGCAACAGACCTCTGACTTGACCAACTGTTACCACTAAATGACATTCATTTTTTACATCACCTTGATTCGATAGCACTCTCCATTACAGCAAGAGCATCACATTTAGCCATGTGTTCAGCAAATGCTAGAATGTCTGTGTTCGTGTGTGTGTGTGGATGTGAACCCGGACCTCTACAGCCACCCGATGCCATCACCTCACCCTTAACGCATCCAGCACTGTACCTGTGGAACTCTGCTTTAGCTTCTCATTCTTCTTTTTCCTCCACTTCCAGGGCTTGAAGATGCGCCCCAGCGTGGCCAGCTTGCTGTTACGTC